AGGGGGGGGGGGTGAGAGAGGTCATTCTAGACAACTTCGGATAGTTTACATGCTAATATTGCATCGAATTTTTATCCCGCGTCGAATTGTAAATCGTCTGTGTGACAAACTTGACCTTCAAATTTTCATCTTTCCTGGTCGCAAGTTTTATTTAAAAAAATAACAGCGACAGTTCAATTTTTCCTTGTCGATAGTTTTATGCGAAATTGCTATCTCTCGTGGCTTCTGAATTCGTAATTGCTAGCGATATTCGAATAGTCGATTACTAGCTAAATAATACCCGGCATAGCGGAGCGTTCGATGTAATTCGCGCGATGCAGCTTTCTGGATTCCGGCCGCCGCGCGTCATCCTCGCTGTATGTTCCGGGATCAATCTTGACGCGTCACGGTTTTCATTGCAATTTTTACATCCTGATTTCGTCGGCGCCGGCATTTTATTCCCGCGTCTGATGCAAAACAGAGAGAGAGCGGCGAGCGCGGCCGGCGAAATATTTACCCTGCAATTCGGACATGTAATAACTCTGGATATTTCAACCCGCTCCGCGACAGATGCACCGTGAGTGCAGTTTATGCAGTCCGCCCCCTGTTTGATTTCCACCGGAATATTTTACGCCAATGACGCCCGCCCTCCCACCTCTCTTTTGCACGAGTTTTTCGATAAATCGAGTGAGCAACGGGTTAAAAAAAAATCGATGCTCCACGATGTCGAGCATTTACACGCAAATATTTGTATTTTCAAATGTCGGAGTAAACACATTAGAGCTGAAATAAATAATCATTATTATCATTTACCTATAATTTTATTTTAAGCGACACTTTTAAATGGAAAATAATTTTAACTCAAATAAGAGATATCGATTCGTGCGTTCCATCGATAATGCGCAAAAACTTTCACGGTTGACGTGACGAAATTGAAATCGGCCGTATCGACAGAGGCGAATTTTCCCTTTTTTCCCTCCAAACCAGTTGCGAAATTTCGCCGGCAATATTTTTCTCGCGACGGAACTGAAACGTTAAAGCGCAAATAATTTTGTGGCAAATCGTCGGTTTCGTTCACGAGCAGCGCGAGATTTACGATGCTCCCGATGATCAATCGGCATTCTTTTTTTCCGTACACCTCGCGACTTGAATTACAACGCGCGTTATTATAATATAAATCAAAAAGTCATCGTCTAAGCACTCGCCGTGTATCGGGAATTATGGGCGGCGACGCGGAAATAAATCAAACGCGTAAAAGAGGTTTGTAAAAACGCTGCTACGGTCGATGAACCCCGTCGTTGATTAATGCAAGAAATATTTAAATCGCGCGCTCATTCCGATTACGTTAATGCATAATGCATGCTCCGCGGTAAACCGCGGTTACTCCTTAATAAATCGCGATACTCCAAAGCGTCGTAAATTCCTTAAAATTAAACAGCCATTTTAATAACCGCGCGAGGGGACCATTTGGCGTGTGTAGCTTCGGACTCCTGTTATAACTTCCAATTATAACAACAATACAACGCATTATACTAATTTTCTTATTGCAGTAAATTCTATATACCATAGTTTCTTGAATATTACATTAATATTTCGTTATATTTTCTTACAAAATGCATAATAAATTATTATTAATTATTATTTTGACGAGAGAAAAACGCATCTCTTTAAACGCGAAACTTCTTTTAATTAATCATAAATCAGACGTAAAATTATTTTATTAAAAGGAAAAAGAAAGAAAAAAAAAAGGAAATATCAGCGATCACGCGCGACTTATTGCGTCGAATAGCGCCATATTGCGACATGCTAATGAATTTTTTTCTCCGACAGGAGCAAAAAAGAGAAAGATTAATTCACTGCGGGAGCTTTCTTCCGAAGGTGGAAAAAGTGAAGGAAGGGAGATATTAAAAATTAATTCTCTCAGCCGTTAAGGGCTCCGGAGTTGTTCGGGGCGACGAGAGTGGTTGTAATGAACACTCTAATGAACATGCACAACGAGCGCGACCTCGTTAAAGCCACGTGGACGGCCGATCGGTCGTAGAGCTCGTAGCCTCCTTTTTACCTATTACTTAGGACTTGTCAACGAAGGGTGAGAGAACGAGAGGGAATATCAGGATGACTCATATAGAGCCGGTATGAAAATAAAATGAAAAAAATTTCGTCCCTCAACGCTTTTCAAGCTGAATTTTAACTCGATGTTTAAAATTAACTTCAAAATATGCGGGAAATTTTGCGGAAAAAACTCTAAAGCGACTTCACAGAGATATGCAAACACAGAACTATAATACAAGAAATCTCGGCAAAAGGCGAAAAAAAACAATCGCGCGTAAAGTAGCTATGCAAGATACGAAGCGTGCTATTACACGATTTTAATTTCTGCGAAAATTGTCTCGAAATTTATCGAATAGTTTTTTTCTGAAGATCGTATCGCGTTAATTTACGCCAAATTTCTAACTACTACACGGCCGAGGAAAGCGCATAATACATCTCGAAGTATAATCCGTTAATCATTAATCGGGCGTAGAAAATTATATAATATATATCAGCCAAGGAATGTGCGGTTAGACGGATATTCGATAGTGGCGTAGCACTCTCTGTACGCCTCGTACAGGAGGAAACCGATGGCACGCGCAGATGGGGTGCGATCTCCCCGTGTAGATCGGAAGCCAATTAATATCCACACAGGGTGCGTTCCACGCACTCTCTCACCTCTCCCCTCCGCCCCCCCTTCCCGTCGTCGTACACCTGCTGAATAACCCCGATGAAACATAACTGCGCGCAGCGTGATATACTCGCGCCATGGGGCTCGCTTGTCAGCGATGGGACCCCATAAACCCCGGGACCGCGCGATAACGGAGTTAACCGGCGGTTACCTCGTTATTCCGATGCGATCTCCGCGAGATCGTAACGAGGCGTCGCTTCGCCACAGCCGTGCACCGCCGTAATAATTATGCCGAACACTCCTGCGGACTGATTACGGGGCTAATCTCCCGAACGATCCTGCCGAAAGCGCGGATTTCGGGGGAATTATTGGCAGCGCCCGAAATTTTTCGCAAGGCGCGATTAACGTTTAATCCAAAGGTTCCGTCGATATCTTTCATCCGTATCTTCCGATACGCTCCTTCAACGATCGCAGCGGCTTTTTAATTTCTCAAACAAAATTTTTCACTTGGGAAACTGCAGCTTTAAAGCTCGTCATCGTTAGAAAAGCGTCTTATCACATTCTTCGCGTAATTCAAACCTAGCACCATCAAATTACCATACACTTAAACCATTAAGAGGAAACTCGAGAGGATCTGGGCTGCGTGAAAAATGTGACGAGACTTTTCTCCGCCGATACTAAATGTAGAACTACGTGCACAATAGACTGAATAATTTCTCAACCAAAAGATTTTTTCTTCCAACAATCGAAAGGCTGTCGAAATTGTTGGAAGAAATGTGAAAAAATATGAAAATTAAAAAAAGCGTTGTTTAAATTTGTCTTCCGCTAGCCTTCATATCGTAATCCAAACTCGAAGAAACCAATCTTACAACAAATATATAAGTTTAATTCTCTAATTCTTCAATAACATTCCTAACGTAGATTAATATTGCACTCATTTGCGAACATTTAATCAAACTTAATTTGAAGATTAAAATTCCTTGTCGATTCGTTTTTTTAATCGTATCATATAATTAACCGTACTCAGCCAGTCCGATAATTAAACGTGAAACCGTCCGATCGGTTGAAAAGATTAATCACTCACCTTGTAGATCTCGTCGACGAGTCTGGTGAGTTCCTCAGTTTCCATGATAACCTCTGCCGGATGAAAAACTCCACTGCTCTCGACTTCACGAGATGCTCATATTTTCCCGTCCTCCCGAGACCGGATCTCACGTGGCCGGGTAGCGGTTTGAAAGCGGGGCGCTTTCCCAAGCTTGATCGTGCTCTCCCGATCTAGAAATAAAACCACAACGGTGAAAATTAGATAATTAAATCATTTCTCATTAAATAAGCATTAAAGTGTATATATAAGAAACCCCACGCGTTAAAAGCAAATAAATTTTTAATAAAGCAGCCCTACAATTTTTCTTGCGTTCACAATTGTATTTTCTTTATCAATGTTAATGAAATAAATAGTGAGCAATAAATAAATAAATAAATAAATAAATAAATAATAAATATATCAATTTAATTTAGGACAATATTAATTTAAATTATTGTGGCAATTAATTATAATTATAATATACAATAAATTAAATTGATATTCAAATTCATGAATCTCTCAACACGTAGCTCTGTAAAATGTAATCTTCGATTGCTATTTCTCTCGTCGTATGTTTTTATCGGTTACTATCTTTTTATGGTAATGATCGCACTAATAGAGAAACGCATTCCTCTCTTGATTGTGACTAGTCGGCACGGCCGGGCTGGTTGGAATCTCGAAGTGCCGCTTAGGCTAAACTCAGGCTAAGCATTACTCATATGTGGAACGCGAGAGGTCACGTTTTCCAAGTACTTTCATTCCGCAAGGACACCCGGTATGCGCGAACGACCGCAGGAGAGCCACATAACTTCGTCGTTTTTTATTCTTCAACACGGATCTGCGGGCCGTGCGGTAAAGTATTCATAGACACTCGATAATCGAAAAGGACGCCGGATCTTCCTGTTTTTTTTTTTTTGTAGCAATATTGCTGTATTCATGAGTTTTTTCCCGTTCTAAAGCTCGCTTTAACCAACATATAATTCGCGAATGGGTTCGAAATAAAAATCTATTCATAACTCCGCCTAACAGAGAACATTTAGAAGATCAAAATAAAACAAAATAAAACATTGTTGTGCCCAAAATTTCACATGTGTGTATTCCAATTTTTCACATATTTCCTGTATTGCGTAGCACACAAAATTGTAAGTAAAATTCTGTCACAAATTATAGATTGTTTCAAATAAATTTGTGACGATAAACCTAATATCAATCTAAAAGTATAAAAACAGAAACGTTGTAAACATTCAATTACTAAACGTGTGAATGCGCATGAAAAAAATATCTAATGCGGAAAAAGAGAGAAGTTGCAGTTGACAGCAATCGGAGAAGCGAGCGCACGAATTCATAAATTTAAATTGTCAAATATGAGAGAAACTGTTATAATTAATTAAATTGCATTCACTTATAAAATCGTTTTGCACCGGCGAATATAATGGCATTACTGCATAAATCTTGAATCCAGCGTTTTGTTTGGAAAATTTCCAAAGTAACTTACGATCAAAGACATCCCGCCCGCCATACAATTCGTTATTCACCCGGACAAATTCACATGCATTTTGCAGGAGATTCCAGTGCCAAAGGTAAACGCCGCTAATAATTTGCAATTGCGCGCGACGTTGACGTTGCACCCAGCGCGAGGGGAGGGAAAATGAAGGGGGAGAGGGCGGACGAGCGGCGATTGTGAGTGTGTCACGTGCGAAACGCGAAAAAATCAACTGGCGACTGCAAACGAAATATCAATCGCTATGACTCCGCGGGCGTGCGTAATATAATAGGCTGATTAATAATAAAGCGACTGCTCGACTCGCAGCGTTCAGCCGAGCGTACTTAATTAATAAATTGACATTTCATAAATTAATCCACGCGACTGTGAATTCACCAGAGTCCGACGGATTATTTAGAACTTATCAATAATTGACCGACGACCTGCGTAATTTTTCAATTTGTTATCCGTTCATTTTTCACGCTTTACGTCGAATCGCTGTCGGGAAACTCGGGCGGAGCGGTCGAGTGTAACAATAAAAGTGTTCTTGTTGTCAAACATTCAGGATTGAAAATGGTGACTTTAAATGTTTGAACTGGCTGAATAATCGAGAAACGCGTAACTTTTAATCAACTAAATAAGTGAACAACAATGTGATGTTTGGTTTTATAATAACAAAAAAAACTAACAGAAAAAAAAACATATGAGAATCAAAGCGCGAATGACGGGGCGCAAAAAATTTCTGTATCATTATTCAGTATTGATTTGTAATCAATTTTTCACGCTCCGACACTCACGCTTTGATTGTCATAATCCCCTTTTCTGTTAGTAAATGTTTCAGCAAATTCGGGAAGTACAAAGCGGATGTAAAGGTCGCGAGAATACGGAGATATTCCGCTACCAAAATTATCAATCCATTCGAAAATGTGTAATCAAACGATAGCGTGATTCAATGAGCGAAATGTTGTCGAATATCGGCGAAGCGCTCGGTGCGATTTGTTAAAATTTGTATCGATCGCGACTGCGACATGTATGTGTAAAACGAACGATTCGATCGCGATCGCAATACGGAGCGGAAGATTCGATTAAACGATGAAAGCGCCCGGCAAAATTCAACGCGGCCTATCGAAAGCGCGCGCGCGCGCGCGCGCGTGCTCGCTCGCGCTTGCTTGCTCGCTGGCGAATTTCGCCGACGCAACTTCGCAAACGCTCGCTCACCCCGAAAGCTTTCAAGCGAATTAAATTCTCTCGAATCGTTTACGATAAAATGTTTCCCTTTAATCTCTCTAATCACCGACGCGCTCTGCAAACTTTCGCGAATTTAACTGGCGAACGTGACTAGAGGGGGACGCTTTAAAGTATCGATACTCGACGCTCACGCTCGATTGCTAATACGAAAGTATCGATACCCGATAGTTTGTGCTGTTAATGACGGGACGACGAAAGTGACGGGTGTAATACGTCAATGTGTAAAATACATAAGAGCAAACAAAAACAATAAACAACAGTTAATTTCATCGCGCTGTGTTTGGTAACATACATAATAATAAACCAACTAATAGTAAAGTAATAAATGTCCCTATTATGCGATACAACGATTCTCAACAATACAACGATATTGTCGATAATTAAATTATACCGACTATGTTACAAATTACATTAATTAAACAGAGGGACGCTTTAAAGTATCGGTGCTCCAGCGCTAGACTGCTAATGCAAAACTATTGATGTTCGACAGTTCTTATTGTCAGTGAAACAGAAATTGATGGATGCGCGTCAAATAGATAATTAAAAAAGCACAAATAAACGATGGCAATAAACTAAAGCATGACAATCACCGTCAGTGCCTGCGCCGCCGTTTCGCACACGATGTTATTGTCAATAATTAAATTGTATGCATTATTCATCGCAGATTACATTCAGATTACACATATTTAATAATTATATGTCGGTGGAAAATAAATTAGTATACATACATAAATACGCGCTCGCTAAATATGAGTCCTCTCATTATTCGCCTGTCGAAATCGCGTTTGTAACTGTCATATCTCGAATAACGCGCCATCAATCGCACACACAACGCGGTGCATCGAACTTTCCGCGTGTTACTTTCTTCGTTACGAAATCCGCATTGTTGCATCATTCCCCGCGCGCGAATTCGCGCGTGTTTATTAGAGCGGTCGACAGCCCGTACACACCCTCGCTTCTTTCATTCTCCTTCCCTCTCCTCTCGCGCCGGGATTAAATTCTACTTTCTCCGACCGCCGACTTATCGAAGCGATATATTTGCATAAACTATGCGCGTCAGAAATGGAAGCGCAACGGTGCCGCATAGCCGCACCTGTGCTATGCGTGAAATTATTTCAACGAAAAAAAAAAAAACCAACAACAATAACATTAGACATCATCAGCTTTGAATAATACACGCGGTTCTCATTTCTTCACGTAAAGTTTCCGCTTTTCCCTCCAGCGTTATTCTAAATGCGAAAGTATTATGTCCTCATTTATAGAAAAAAGGAAAAATTTATTATCTAACTAATCTAAACGAGCGGTAACTCCAGTTATCTAATATACTTCGTAATTAATATTATACTGCATTGATCAGAAAGTTTCTCTTCACATTTTTCTCGAAAAATTCAAAGAAACTTTCTGATTACAGCCCAATGTGTTCCTCGTTGTGCATCGATCTTTGAAAAAAAAAAAAGACTTTCTCGTTTCTTTCTTCCAATCGACAATTGAAGCCTGTCAATCCATGTGGTTAAAGAGAAAGGAGGGAAAGCCGAATAGTAGACGAAACGACGCAGACACACGTCGGTATTAATATAACGCCGTACAATGCACAATGTGCGTATACCTACGCGACGCAGGTGCCGCTAGCAGGACATCGAGAACAATTTCTATAACTGTTGCGACAGCGCCGACCAGAACAACATTCCTCGGCAGTCGCGATTTGAATGCGATCCTGCAAATGAATCCCGGTAATTGTGCGAACGCATGGGCGCGCCCTGGGAATCTCGCGAAGACTCACGCGAAGATCTCACCTTGCGCATCGCGATTGTATTCTTCGCACGATCGCGAGCGACAAATTAATGATGATCAAATTTATTTCTCCCGTCGGTTTCGATCGGCGACGCTTCCGATATGTAAAACCTTCAGACTGTAGAAAATTAAGAAAAAGAAGCGACTGAGAAATCGTCGAAGGTCTATGCGTTATCGGCTTGATTTTTTTTTCTCACGTACTTCGCACACGATGAAAAGATATTAATGATAATACACGCGTAATATCGCGAACGATTTTACTATCGGCGCGGTAATTTCCTTTATCAAGGCCAGTGAGGGAAGAGCTCGTATATAGAACTAGTTCTATAAACGAGATTCCGCGAGCTGTAAATTGGCGCGAAAAAAGCGCACGCACCTCCAAAGCAGCCGTTTTATCTCTTCCTTTTCTCCGCGAGCTGTAAAACATCCTTGGCTTTCAAAGCCTCCCTTTCCCCTTGCTCTTCATGCTCACGCTCCTCTTCTCTCTCCCTCTCTTTCTCTCTCTCTTACATTGCAGCTTTAATTATCGCCTCAAAGGGCCCCACCCTTTTGCTTTATTTATCCATCGATGACGTTCCCTTATCCCGCACCGTCAAAGAAATCCTCATGGACGTTAATTAACCTTCGAACGCAAAAAGAGGGACTGCAAAAACGCACGGGTGCGCCCATATTCATTGCAATAATGAGGAAGGAAACTATTCTTTCACCTCTCTTTCATCGTGTGTCCCGCCATCCCGCTTTAGACAAAGTAAGATCCGAGAGTTCTATTTTAAGGGACATGTAATTAACATGAAATTACATCACTTTTATCCTCATTTCATTAAAATGAGCCACTTTATAAATTTAATTTAGAATACGCAAATAATGTATATTAAATTAGGTAATTTCATTGAAAGAACTAAAACAAACTAATAAAAAAATTAATCGAAAGTTTTCAAGTCAGAATTTTATAATTTTACAAAAAAAAAGGAGAAATATAAGTATTTGATTTTTCAACAAATAATTCTAATTAATTAAATTCCTACATAATTTAATGAAAAATAATTATATGTCAAAAAGAATGCAAAGTGAATCGCGTAAAGAAAATTTATGTAATGTCGGGGACTTATTTCTTTAAAAATATTTCGAAAATAAAAGTGCCACTGAGCAAAATCTAATGCACACAAACATATTTCATATTCATATTCTCTATACATATAAAATATTGATCTCTTTTGACCAAAAATTCTAACATATTGTAATTCAAAGCAAAAAATAATATTTCGACATTTTCGACAACTCGAACATAAACAATAAAGCTTTCCGATCCGAAGTTGATTCGAACAGTTCGAACTGTTCAGTTCGAAAGGTCAGAACTATTTGACGTTTAATCTCGAGATCGGAATTGCTCGCCCATCTGAAATGTCTGAGATTACTAATTTTTATATTTTGCGCAGACAATCGTAAAGTTTCGCTTATGTCGACTACTTTCACGTTTCAAAACAATTGCACTGCATTCGACCGCGGTGCAAAAAGTTTCGATCGCGTTCTGTTATGTTTCCAAATATTCATAAAAGTTTCCATCGATGCTGCAGATGCTACCGAGTTTACTTAGAGCGAATTCGATTCAATCCTTAATTTTAATATTGTTTATACGCATTTCAATTCACTCTTGTCCTGGAATACAATGTATCCACAAACTACGACAGTTGAGTGGCTGCGTGTTTATACGACGCGAAAGCTACGGCAACGCGTCCGGGGGCGGCAGAAGCGAGCGGATCAACGCGAGGGGTATTTGTACTGTGACGGAAATGACGCGGTAAAGAACTAACAACGAATTATGAGCTGCAATGAACCCCCACGGTCTCAACCGGTGAATTATCTGTCGCTTTGCCGGGACATAAATTCCGATTTGCAGCTGACATTCGGTGCCGTTCAATACTCGCGTTTATCCGTCTTTTTTTTTTCCGCCCCAATAATGGCGAAATAGACCAGCCATTTTGCGCGTTCGACTTTAAGAGACGCGACGAAATAGGGAGAAAAAAAGGGGAGGGATGGGGAAAAAAATGAGGAATAAAATCCAGAGAAGAGTTCCATCGCGGAATCGCTCGCGGATGATTTCCGTCGATGAAATATTCATAATTTAATATGTTCTTCCCGCACTTCCTCGCGCTTCTCCATCGACGAACGGAATAGTCGCAGGATGAAATATTCATCCTCGAGAATGACGATGATGTCGCTCCGAGAAAATGCGCCGCGCGTCATCGATTCCTCCGACCGAGTAATTCGAGTGGAGTCCTCGATGCGGTTCTGCGAAACACTATTTTTCCGAGCTCTTAATTCTTCTTTCGTTTCATCCGCGTATTAATACATTTTCTCTCTCGATTTCAAACTCAATCCATTTTTATCGTATATAGTTATTTTAAACTCTAATTTTACAGATTTCTCTTTCCTTTATTACTCTCGAAAGACCGGAAAGATTTCCGTCGTGTTTGCGAATTGAAATCTTCCGAGATGTTCTTCCGCCGACACGAGGCGTGATTTTTCCGATTACATTTCATGCAATTTCCAATTCCCCGATTTATCCCGCGTATATTCCGCACTCGTTAGATCCGCAATGCCGGCGTTACTTCGCAAATATTCATCGAACATCGATGAATTCTTCCGCCGACACGAGGGATTTGCGTTATCTTCGCGTACAATTCGTTCACATTTTACAAGACTCCTAAATTCGCCACGTATTTTTCGCGCATTCCCCAGAGAGAGAGAGAGAGAAGGTGACGGAAGGAGCAGCGGGAAGAAGACAGACAGACAGACGTACAAATAGACTGACTGACTGAGTGAGAGAAAGAAAGAGAAGAAGGAGAGAGAATACGGAATTTCGGCATTTTGCTTTCGTGATTCCCGTGGAAATAATTCCAAGGATTCTACAAGGCCGTAAACATTTGGGTCGCAAAACACGATTGAAGCACGAGTCTAATAACAATTGTCGCTGCGCAACTCATAGCGTGATTCAGAGACAACCACGATATTTGCTGAATACGTTCGGAACGAGAAATAAGCGACGTGGTCCTGCGCGATGCATATTTCACGACAGAAGGTACGGAACGTTGTTTGTTTGATAATTTCGCCGACATCGGTGGAAGCTGAATAATTTATACTAATCTCCGCTTTTCGTTTTGTTCATTATATCTCTTACTTTTCGCAGGCAGAACAAATCCAATAAAAAATTTACGAATCGCTTTCAAAGTTTTGATATTTTTTTAACACGTTAAGATATACGTACAATATTTTTGACAATTTTGCACACATCTCGTCCTAATAAAAAATTTACGAATCAAAGTTTTTTAACATGTTTTAACATGTTAAAAATATATAATAAATAAATAATCGCAAAATGTGAAATGGTGAAAAAGAGGGAAAAGATTTTTCGCGTGTCAATTTAAAATTGTTGCAATCAATTAAAATATATCAAAAGTATGAACTTTACCTTTCCGAATGTCAAGTATCTTTTACAACTATCTAAAATTTAAACAATTTCATTCAACAGGGGACGAAATAGCACATTTTCCACATAACCTTCTTTACTCGTTCCGACGCGTCTTGAAAACATCGCGCTTCTCTTCTAAATCACTTCGTATTCGATAACAAAAATTATCAATAAAATTTACAAACAATCCTAATTTTTTAATAATTATCTCACGAGATCTATTCAATGGTCATGATTTAACAATTTTAAAATCATTGTTACATACATTCGAGAATATTTCAGTATTGTAATTACTCCGACCGATAGTTTTCTTACCGCGACATGTTACGAGGCTCACCTGAGATCCCGTGGAGGATCAACGGATCGAAATTACAAGGAGGATCTCGTACTTCCGCGGAAGAGACGGCTTGAATACGTAGTGCAGGGAGACCGGAACACCTCGCGAACGAGAGGACGACGCAAAAACGATACACTCAGCTCGATGCACGCGAGACCACTGAGCAGCGCGAGAGAGCCGCTCAACTACCGAGCGGCCGCCTCTCGGCGCAGGTCGGCCAGCAGGATAAGCGCGCACGATCGCGTCGCACTCTCATTTTAATCCCCCCATTAAATACCATCATCGTAATACAAAGAATGTTATCATAATGTAAAAATCGAGAGACACCCTCCATCACTCTCAGGAATTTTATTATGACAAACATTACAATCTAACATAAAATATGAGTGTTTTAATATTATCTCTGTTGTTTATCTCGAAAAGATTTAATATGCTTGGAAATTATAGACTGAAAAGTTTCCGAACCAGTTATTTACATTGCTAATGCCGTTTTGTTTAAAAAAGATTTTGCAGATAAAAACTTGCAATTCTTCAATTTCGAAAATTAATTTGGAACTGGAATATAAAGCTCTACGTATAATTCATAAGAATTTCTATTACAAGCGTGTTAACACATTATATATAGTAATATATCTGAAAATTGCCAAAATCCCAAGATCCCACTTGTTTTAAAGAGATTATCACGCAATTTACAATCGGCATTAGGAACAAATTATATTCCATAAAGTTTTAATCGAAAAGGCAGCATCATTTAATTGAACTTTTCCTCTGCGGCCTGCTCGGCCAAGAGAGAGAGGACCGAGAAAGAGAGAAAGAGAGAGAACAGAACAGAAAGAGGGGGGCAAGGAATTCAATTAAAAAGTGCTGCGCGCCTATGCTAACGTAAAGTTAACGCTTCGCGGTTTTCGTGCACATTTAGCGATAAATGAACAATACAACAAAAATTTATTACTTTGGTAAATTAAATTTTACTCATTTGTCAACGGACTCAATAATGAACTTGATAATTTACTTGTAGCTATTACAAATAAATAATAACTAAATTGAACTAAGCAGCGAAACGAGAGTATTTGATGCCGAAAATGCGACATTGCCCGCTTCAATTATATCTGTCGCCGTGTCGACAGTGTCTCCGGCGAGTTTTCTCCGATCGAGAGCGCGTCTTCGACGCGGCCCGAGTTTATGGGGTCAACGACGAAAGGAGGACTCGCAGTGGAATGTGCTAAAGGCCAGAATGAAGGTCGATCTGTATGAAGGCCTCTGCCGATCGGCCGGCCGATTTCCCGTTGGCCGTGTTTCCGATAATGGACTCGAAAATACACAGATCGAGAATTTCCGCGCCAATTTCCCCGTTCCCGACTCGCTTAACGGCGCTAATTAATTTTACAGGCCGTCCACTGCGACTAATCGAAGCCGTTCGTCGAATTCTGCCATAAACAATCCGGCCAAAAAGGCGACGCGATAATGATGTTGCGCGTGTTATTTCATCGCTCTCTCGATTATTTCCAATTAACAAAATACATGTCACGATTAAAGTGATCGTCGGACTAGATCTCCTGGAGATTAATCGAATAACGCTATTAATTGCATTTATTAATTCGTATTTTCGATTTACGCATTCGCGAATTGTGAATACATTTTCGACACGCAGCCAGTGAGAATTCTTTTAAAATTTAATCTAACAAAAAGTTGAATTTAATTGCGAATCGCACGGATACGCGAACGGAAGGAAATAAAAAAAAAGTTGCTATGGCATTTATCCACCTCGTCATAGCAATCATCGTTCAATTTCCGGGTTTTTGTTCGCTTGCCGTTGGCGGTTTTCGAATTTTTCGAAGCACAATGAAAAATAACTATCGAGTTGGCATACAATTCAAATTATATCGAAACACGATCGCTGCCTCAAAGGTGTATACAACAATTTTTGTTTAACGAATTAGAATCTGAGATCTATGAATTTTCGATTTTATTTTAACGAATTTCTGAAGAAAATTGAAGTAACTATCAGATGTGAATGTATTATTCGATCTTATCTATTTTGATTTCTTCCAGAATAATAATAATAATAATAACACTAGTATTCTGATCTCTTGTATTTATGTGACGACTTTTTGCTCAAAAATTCTTTCTGCAAAATCGGTAAAGTTTTCTGCTTTTTGTCACGAAGCAGATTCTACAGAAATACTTTTATTCGCAATTGACAAGAAACAAAAATAATTGTGCATCAATTAATCGAACAATGATGGCTAATAAATGTCATATCGACGTTAGTTTTCTCTCTATCGCATATCCATAATGTCGATACTTTGGCTTTGGATCAAACTGTACCATTAAACATGAATAACGGACACATTTTAGTGAATTGAGAATCATTTCCCTGTAGACCGCATTCACTTGTCGCGGGCAGAAATTTTCACGTTGTTTACGGAGATACAGGCACGTACTCCGGCGACTCGTAATTCAGGATTCCCTCCTTGCATTATTTATGCTCGCATGCAAATACGTGTGTACGCCCGTGCTCGTTCGCGCTCGCGCTTATGAATGACCCGCACGATACGTGCTAAGTACCGTTGAGCGTAGAAAATAATCCGCTTCCGGAAATCGCATTTACGCGGAATTAATTATCAGCGGAGAGTGCCCGAAAAGACAGAGAGAGAGAGAGCAAGAGAGGGGGGGGAGGAAGGGAGAGAGAATATTTTAATCGCTCGCTATTCGAATTGATGGCTTCGAAGAAGCACGTCCTGCAAAACCTTCAAGTTCCTTTGGCCTTTCGGAATTTCACTTTGGAATTCCTTATATTATATTAAATTAAATTTGTAATGTGCATTATAGTATTATGTACATATATACGATTACATTTATGTACACAGATATATTGTTCCGTAAATTATTTTTCTCATAAGCCTTGTGCGAAACAGAGTTCATATTCAACTTTTTCCATTTACATTTGCGTATAAAATTATTATACTGTCCGTTACGGGACCTACTCTGTTTAATTTCATTCTATTTTGCTACATTTTAGTATATCAACCATGCTAAAATTGTGCGCAAAAAAAAGAAGAACTTTCATGATTTAATATTGCATATTAACATTGCAAAAAATTGTCGCTGTCGAAAATTAATCTCATTAGTTTTGATAAAACTTATTTCGTTAAATTAATTTACTATTTTTCATTGGATAGATGATAATGCCCGACGAGGAAATTGTGACAAATAAAATTTCTCATTGATTCAATACTACATAATAATTATAGAAAACTATAGAAAATTGTCACTGTCAAAAATCAATCTATTAAGTAAATAAAAACTATAAGCTTATAGCTTTCAGCTTATAGATTCTGTTAAATTAAAATCGACACCTGGATACAAGACGCCGAGGAAAAGAAAATTTTCAGAAATCCATCCTCGTTGCTTTCGCGACGCTGCGGCGTCGCGACGCGCGATCGTAGGTGCGCGTCTCCAAAAAGTAAATAAGCCGTGAAATATTGCACGCTCGCGGCGAAGCAGAAGAGCGAGGGTGGCCCTATTATCCATCACGAGGACTGTCAGCCCCACGTGGGATAAAGTCGACGTGGGTATCTCTCAGCGCGGCGTTAGCTCCCGATACGTCGAAGGGCACACGGGGCGACGGCGTTCGATTACGTTCCCTCGGTGCCGGAGTAAAAAGGATCCGAGGCGATCGCGCGCGTAATCCCTCCCTTTATAAGAGTTTCGGAGAAACGGACGGCGACGTTTTCATGAAACGAGGAACGCCAGATACTCGGTAACGCGGCCGCATTCATTTTATCTCGCGGCTGTTATATGTAAATGAACACTTCACTCGACATTATTATCATTCGTTATTGCTGATCAATTCAAATAATATTTAGAAAAACAGAATTAATATTTTTGATTGTTAAATCTATCATGCCCATGAAGCAATTGTATCGAATGTTGTTTTGGTTCAACATCAAATATACATATAATAAATATATATAATTGTTTTCAATGTGACGCTATTTTGTTCTGGTAATTGTATGTTGCGCTACGAGTATTCGTGCATACAAATATTTGTCCCCCTCTTTCAGATTTTGGTTTATATTCTTAATATATATACTTCTTTTCTCTCAAACACGATGTGATGTTAAAAGTACGAGAATAACAGTCTAAAATGTAATCAATATAACACATAAATTCACTCACCAGATGTTCCAGACATTGGCAACTGCTGCAGCGACCATTTTGAACTTGCAGTTTTCGATTTCTTCAACACTAACCTTGACCGGCGCGAACAAATTAATTTAAAGCACGCGGCTAATTACGATAACGCACACTAATTACACTATGCTAAAACGGTTGCGCGTCGTTTAATTTGCAGCTCGGTATACTTGTTTGCACGAACGATTCACTTTCGACCGGCGAAAAACGCGAGGAATGCGGAGCGATTTCGAGACAACAGCAAAGTGGTTTCGTTCAAGGCAGATCAGCGTGACGTTGGCGCGCAGTTCGCGCATCACGCGCGCAGCCAATTTCACACTCGAGCGGTAAATGTTATTCAAATTAGATACCTGAAACAAGTTATACAATAATATTAAGAGCAAGAGTAAAAAAAATTTAATTACATAATTCAAAAATATTAATTATAATTGCATAATTAAAAAATATTTTAAGCGACTATCTATTGATAAATGCTGCAAATTTTTGTTTGCTTTTACATCAATAATATCTATAGCAATTTAATTTATTCTATGTGAAACGCGCTATTAGTATTATTTTATTTCGATAGTATATAAATAATACTCTTTAATTTCCATTAAAAATAATGATTATCTCCATATAATATAAATAAAATCATCTCAATTATCCGTTTAGTTAAATTACTACAATAATATATAAAATATAATCATAATTGTGCTGACATTTTTATTTCTTGTTTTATTATTCTATTTTTTAGAGATATCCATTCTAATTTGTTAATTTATATTAATACTATTAGTAACATGGCAATTATTAAATTGCCTCCATATTGATCGAATTTTTGATAGAAATATTTGCATTATAAAAATACATAACGCTGAAAGCATTAAAAAAGAAAGCCTCCTCGACTTCCAAAGCTTAACTTTTACGATGTATCTTGCCAACAAGTTTTTCTCGATACTTTTTACGAGCCCTTCGGGCGCCGTTCAGGCTGTTCGACACCTCTAATGGAGGGTGACGTGCGATGGGAGATATTTAATGGTCCGTCTTTATGAAACCGCCGCACAGTTGCGCATTTATGAAATCATTTCTATTCGGAATATTGATAAAAATTCTCATGCATTTTTTCTCGAATTCAATATTTTCCTCAAGAACAGTCAGAATTGTAATTTTTGTCGCTTTGTTTCCTAGATCTTTCCTTTGCTTTAATTTCAATTTATTGATTATTATTCATGAAAAGCAGTAGCGAATCATATTATCGCGCTATAGTATGTTCGTAATTCAGGAAGCGTAACAATTAAATGTCTAATTATTTCCTCCAATATACTATGCCGTATAATCTCATCAGAAATGAGATGAAAGTTCATAACACCAACATATATTAATTTTATATCACATTACATGAAGCGGCAAAAAGCGACTACAAATACACTCTTTGTGATGTCAATTTTTTTCAGTTACATTATTCTTTTATCGAGATGGACAAAATAATTAAAACAATTATCTCCACATAATTATGCTGATTAAAATCATAAACTTACAAAATTAAAAATATATCTGATATTCAAATATTTCTTATCGCAAATTTTCTGTTAGAAACTTTTTATCTTAAGGTTTAACATGTATAAAATTTATAGCATGTTATCAAAAACATATTGCATATTGTACTTTCTTATTATTGATCCATTCAGAATCCTGTCATTACTCTAGATAATTTCTACTGCTTAATGAGTTGATATAACAATTGTATCTTCGGAAAAAAACCAATGACTGCAATAGTAAATTAAACTTCCAAGATGTTTAAAATAATGTCCAATAATATATCAGAAACAATTCTCTACTTATTGCAGTGAATTACATTTATATTTTAATGCTAGTATCATTAAGATCAAATTTCTTTACCTGAAAATACAAACAAATATTAAAAACAAAATATATAAATTTTTTTTAACTCAGTAACACGATAATCAAACTTTAGAAACCTTTTACATGGAATCTTGCTTAATGCGGAAGGGATAAAAAGTGGCGGTGTTGTGGAGAAGATGGACGGAGTCAGAAGAACCATCAAAATGTTACACGTGATGCATTTATTGAAACAATAGATGATAATAATTATCAGCTTAATCTTCCTCCTCTTCTGGCGCAGCGCCACCGCTTCCCTTCCTCAGGTTCTTCCTCTTGACGCGACCGGGTCTGCCGCCACCGAAGGGCGACTTAAGCGAGAAGTCGATGTGCTTCTGCGAGTCCAGTCTCACGATGAACGACGGAATATTCACCACCTGTTTACGTACGCTGTAACGAGAAACTGCCATTAATACTTCACTCCGTCTTAGGCATTAGAGTCACAACTTGCAAGTTTTAAAAAGACAAAACTCTACCGGAGGTTCCTATTTCTCAACAAGGACGAAAAACCAATAGGCGTTAAGTGCCGATAAACGGCACTTAAGTGGCCTTAGCGAAATTTTATTTAGGTTAACAATTTGCAATTCAGGACGCAGCGCATGCGATCAGTTGACTAGGTGCCATCGTTCTAGTGCTGAGCAGCAGAATGGTTGTTCGCAAGCGTCATCTTGCCTTGTATATACGCGCGGGAATGTCAATGCTTTAAACATAAAATTAGATTCTAGGTTTCTGGCAGAAATAAGCTGGATTCTTCTGTTTTCAACTTGTAAAACACGTTTTTAAGTAATTAAGTCATATTTAAACAAAATTGTGATATTAAACTTCAAAATTTGCAATTTGTTGGCAAAAATGCTGTGTTACAAGATCTAATATCTTCCAAAATATAATTTTCTATTGTTCTCAAATTTTCTCCAATTTATATCAATTTATAGTAAACTTATTATGTAAAGAATAAAATTGTTTATTAAATACTGAATAGATAATATGAGCATTTAAGTGTGTAGCCTGTCTTGAAACCGAGAAAGAAACAATTCTGTACTCGGTGATTAAACCAGGCATTTAATCTTGCCTCAAAGATTAGAAACGCACCTTGAAAACAATTCGGTAGTTTCTTGCCCACTTTTTTAAGGCATATCAGCTTTAAATCTTTAAAAAATGCTCAAATTATTAAAAAAATGTTATAACAAGCAAAGTGTACAACTTTGGATGAACAATTTCTCAATTTTTTTTAAAGCCGGTTTTTATAAAAACCTATTTTTTCTGTTCAGCAATATAGATATGCTTTCCTTTACTATGTTATATTTACCGAATATGCCGTTGACGAATGAGCACACGCGCATGATGGATGGATTTGGCCAACCCTAACTTAAATACTTGGGTTTGTAGACGACGTTCCAAGAAATCTTCGATCTTTAAACCCAACACATAATCAAGCTTCATGTGAGCTTCATTCAACACACCAATCCTCACCAGACGACGCAGCAATGCGTTTCCTGTAAGAATATTACTATTGTTATATAGAGAATTAAAAAAATTCAAAATCTTTTTTCAAATTTCTAAAGAGATACTTCAGTTAATGCTTATATCAACACAAGTGTTCAGACAAGAGGTGTCAAGAGAGCATAATCATCATATACTTGTATCACTCTACATCAAGTACATAACCAATATTCAAGTGCACTAATGTAAAAAAATGTAGTTAACGTTTATAAATATTATGTACACTAGGCACCAATATCTCGTGCTTCTACATGCATAGTCTATTACTTTTAACGATGATGTTATCATTATACGTGTAACAGCAATTACATTATATTTATATAATATCTATACAATTACACGCATCATTGTTATAAGTATATTGATTTAGAACTTTTGCTTTGAATTCAGCATTGGCTTTATTAATGAATTTACTTCGACTTTGTTAATAAATAAATGTGCTGTTTAATGGTTTTGGATTTTGTAACAATCATTATGCGCAAATGTGCAAATAAAATTTATTCGACTCAAAAATGCTTAACCGGAAGTGTAAAGTATGTCGTATACGTGGCTAACCTTCAAAAAGACGCTTCGGGTCTTTTTCTTCCAGTGTGAGCAACTCACGAGCGGCCTTACGAATTTTGGCCAAAGTGTATTTTACTCTCCACACTTCGCGCTTATTACGGAGACCATATTCTCCAATAATGCGCAACTCCTGATCAAGGCGAGCCTTTTCATATGGCCTTCTAGGAGTTACATAGGTCTTGGAGAAGACCGACGGAATTCTTCCGTTAACCATGCTAAATCGTTACCTGAATGGCATAAATATTTAAAGTATTATTTAAATGAAAAGATCGAATTATAGATCGATTACAAATTGAATAATTCCACAAATATACGGCGTGTCTACCACGTGTCCACCATTTTAAGAGTAAAACACGCGACGGTAAGAATGTTTTAAGATTGAAATTATACGTTTAAATGACTCTTTATGAACTCATAAGTAACTTTTATGATCAATTCAATCATTTAAAATGCGCACAGTGTAATTATTCACGGATATTGTACTTACTTTTCGTCACCAGAACAGTAACGACGTCCAGTCGCCAAGGCGGATACGACGAAAATGACCGAGTATGCTTGAAACCGGTAGTTAAAACAGTTGCCTTGCACATGCGCAAATGATGCGCGCTCTAGTCTTTAAAGGCATATCCACATAACTTGCATAAGCATATAATCTGCTTATTAAGTGGTATCTAATTATTAAGTGGATAGCACAAAAAATCAATTAAAGAAAAAATCAATTAAAGAAAATAAATTAACACTAGACATGTCATCCAATAATCTATATTTTATTTTTTTAAATTTATTTTTTTTTAAATTAATATAGCATTAGATAAAGACCCTAATATTCAAGTAGATTTACATCTAAGTATCTAGGTATTTATAGATCCAAATATTTTGTATATCGAACATTAAATTTAGTGTAAATTTACCATAATAAAAAAGTCTGTAAACTTCATACTGCTTCGATCATTTGACATAATTATAACTACTCTCGCACAAACATAAATATCTTTATAGTACTTTTAGAACTTAGAGTTTTATTTAAAAAATAAAAAATTAAAAATAGATTAATCATTGTACTTAAATAACTTTGTTATTTTAATTTCATTATTTTACTTGATTATCGAAGTTATGCTGTTTATTGCATGTATGCCATCTGGTGGCAGATTATGCATCTTTGCTCCGTAATTGTCGTTATCTTTCCGCAGTGGTCTCAGATTGTATTTCGTCAGAGTTATCGAAGTTTCTGCTCTACGTTTCTCATTTCTTCGTTGCACTTTGTGTTTGGTAGAATTCTTTGATCCGAATTTTCTGCATATTAGAAATTTCCGTGTAGGAATTCCATAGATTGACATAGCAATCGTTGTGGAGAGACCGAAACAAAATGGCCGCAGCCGCGGCCGCTGCATTACTCGATGAGCTTATGGGCAGAAACAGAAATGTTTTGCCTAACGAGAAGCCCAAAGAACTCAATTGGGAAGATCCCGAGGTAAGCTTGCATCAATGTTGATATTTTTGAAAAATCTTGATTGCTTTCGAAAATTTTTCGGTTGCTCTCGTTAACCCTTTCTTTTTACAAGAAAATTTTTCTAATTTTATATTTCTAAAACTTCTTACGATTCAAAAATTTTAACGATATAATTCATATAATTAAATATTCTGAAAAATTTAATTTAAAAAATTTTAACGTGTTCTAAATAAAAAGAAAATATTTGTAAGGTAGTTATATATATATATATATACAATTGTGTCAAGATTAGTTGTAGCATATTAATACTTATTAGCTAGTTTTAGAGCAAAAAAAATTAAATACAATATTAGAAAGAAAAAAATAAACTAGAACAGATAAAGATATTTATTTGTGTTGTCTATAATTGTGTATTTTTTATGATAATAAAAGCTGTGCAAACAGATAAGATTATATCAATTTCTTTTTTTTTATGAAGCTTTTATCTAACTTCTTATTGTCTTGTATATCATTGTTTATCTTTGAAGAATCAGACGTTACATTATTTCTCTCTTTATGTGAATGTACTGACTTTATAGAATACTATTTATGTTTCAGTTTTGCAAGCTGTACCTAGTCAAATTCTGTCCTCATGACTTATTTGTTAATACAAGAGCAGACTTAGGCGCATGTCCCAAAGTGCATGACGATGAAGCTAGAGAATTGTTCGAAAAGGCTCAATATTCATACCGCAAGCAGCAATATGAAGATGAATTTATCAGGTATTGCCAGAGTATGTTGAACGAGGTAGAGCGAAAAATCGTAAAGGGAAAACAGCGATTGGCGTTAATTGGAAGAACAGAAGCAGTAAGTCTTACTAGAAGTTAGATTTTGAGCACAGAATTAAAATTCAACATTTTCTGCGTATAGCCGACATTGACGCCAGCGCAAACGCAACGAAATGAGGAGCAGATTGCTCTTCTAACGGAAAAAATAAACAAATTAGTGGAGGAGGCTGAGCAAAGTGGAATTCAAGGCAATGTGGAACAAGCGCAAGGCCTAATGCGTCTCTGTGATCAGCTGAAGGAAGAGCGCGAAACTTTAAGGAAATCCAATGATAATAGTCATTACAATCAAGTGAGTATATGGATTTCAACTTTTATTGAATCCTAAATAATTTGTAATATATTTATAATTACAATTTATACTAACTGGGTGAGATATATTTTCAGACTGCTGAATTAGCTGCTGCACAGGAGAAGCAGATGGAAGTATGCGACGTATGTGGTGCATTTCTTATCGTGGGCGATGCTCAGCAACGAATCGATGATCATCTAATGGGAAAACAACATGTGGGCTACGCGAGACTAAAAAGCGCCCTTCAAGAGATTATGGTAAGTATTATAGTTAATTATCATCTTTCTTAATATTAAATATTTCTTTACAGCTAAATTAAAACTGCTTATAGAGCAAACGTGAGAAAGCGCGCGATGAGAAAGAGCAGAGAAGGGAAGAAGAGCGGAAGCAAAGAGCACGAGCAAACGAGGAGCTCGACAGACGGCGGAGAGACAGCGACAGAGACAGAGACCGCGACAGAGATAGAGACAAACGTCGTAGGCGAATGGACGATGAGAAGAGCCGCCACGACTCGAGCGGTCATCGGTAAGAACTTTTTTTTTAACTCGCTCTAAAAATTTACATTTTTGACAAATTTTTGGTTTCGAGTTAATTGTAAAAGTGATAAGTTTAACGGAAATGTTGCTTATTATAGAAATTCCGGACACAGAAGTAGAAGCAGATCGCGAGATAGGCATCATCGAGACGAAGATAGCCACCGACGGCATGGTAGAGATAAGGGTGAGTGATGACGCTCTACTGACTCTTTAAAATAGTTGTCATGTGACAGTAGAAAGTTAAGTCTCGTGGTATGAGAAAAAATCCAATTTACAAAAGTATCTAATATTTTTTAAAATAATATTTAATTTGAATGATAAAATTAAAGACAGCATTGTGTGTGTGTGTGTGTGTGTGTGTGTCACTAGTTTAGTATAGGCATTACATGTTGGCAGTACTTTTTGCAATTATAAATCAAAGTTGTAGGACGCTTAATCATTTCACACAGACGTTTAGATAACATTTCGATCAGTATCTAATCGAAATTTGAAAAAATTCTTTAAGAGATTGATTTATCGCGACGTCTTAAAAGTTTACTGAAACAATTGTTGCGAATAGAAGAGCAAACGGCGCTTGATATCGTAATAATAACGATAATTTTTAGGAAATCGCGATCATCGGAGTTCCAGCCATCACAATCGTCGCCGGCACCGCTCGCGAAGTCGAAGTCACAAGTAACTTCTCTTGATTGGTTAGTGAGTGAGAAGTAAGCCAGGTATGCACCAAACAATATAACCATATTCGTCTCAATTACTGTACAGGTACTCTTACGATCCAGGTGAGTTGCCATTCCGATGCACATAATACATATACATGATAATATAATCTGTGATGTTTGAAGCGCCGCGTAAGTCACACAGCAAGTCCGTCTCATTTCTATCTCTGAAACACACTCTGTCTCTCTCCGCCTCTCTTTGCTTCATGTCCCAACAGAATAGGAACAAACGCCTCTAGTTTAAAAAAAAATTTCATCAAAGAATCGACTTCGCTGTCAATGCTATTTCATTAAGATGAAAATCTCTAACTAATGGCGTAACCAGGTATAATGCTGAGTGAGCACAATTGTAAAGTCGTCAGATCAATAGGTGCATTTATCATTTATATAGTATTATATATATCGTCAGTGAAAAACAAGAGAGAAGAAACAGAAGAATGCAATAGTAATATAATTTGCTTTGATAATTTTTAAAAATTAATCTTAAATTTAAGAAAATTGAATCTTTCCTTTACGAGATTCTTTAGAAAATCAGTCGAACCATTTTTGCAATATTTTAAAAATCTAAACTTAATTTTCTTGACTTTTAATTTTATATTTTCAAGATTCTGTTTTGTCAGTACAGTGTTTGCCAAGGTTTTATTTAGCAACTTTTTAAGAATTTGGGAACATAAATCATTTCATTTTCACTTCATACATTTTCCTCGCATCTTCAAGAAACTTGTCGATTAATTAAAAATAGAAAATTTTAATCGCGTCGCGTAGAAGCTGAATACACTTGACACATCTCCAAGTAATCGTTCCGATAAATTCTCGATTTGTCTGTAAAGCAAGCTGGGAGAAGGTATACCTATGCTTGCTTTCACCGGTTATAACTCTACTTTGAAACAGCAGAAGGGTGTAAGTCCAAAAGATGATTTTTTTTCCAGGAAAAGCCCGCAAAGGTCCGGAGAATCGGTGGACGCGCGCTTTCAAGATGAATTAAATAACTGTGAATAAATGCAATCAGGTTGAAATATATTTAAGATAAAATAGATTCATGCTGTTTATCCCAAAATAAAAAAACTTGTTTCTATAAAAATACAGCGTCTTCTTTCATTATAATTTTTTTTTTTATTATTATGGTTTTATCGCGTTTTGTTTTTCAGATTATTTGAATTCGAGACTCACTTCGGGAACTTGCTTGATTCTATAACTTGTAAAAGGCCGTCACACTTGTTGCGACGAAAAGAGAGAACGGCGAAGCCGATAGTTTTGGACTTACTCCCTTCCGCTTCTCCGGCGCGGACCTATCTTCGTAGGTTCGTTAAAAAGTGCGATCTAATCTTGCTCGCGTGTCGATAAGAGAGAAAGAGAGACAGAAAGAGATTTTGCGGTTTAGCGCGGAGGGGACACAGCTCTCAGTGCCCGCTTCATAGAGCTTCGTCCACGACTGCAAATGCACGAGTGCGCAACTGTGAGTGCGCCCTGCAAACGTGTGACTGACTATACGAACCTCTAGCTTCTGCCACGCAATTGACGAGGTATTTATACCGGAAATGATAATATCAACAAATGTCCTTCTGCCAGGAGAGTTTCCATCCTCCCCCCCCCTTGCTTTCATTTTCTTCAGGCCTTCCCCTTGACTAATTAAGGCTCTAACGATCTCAAAACGTAATTGTTTAGACGATGTAGGGGATCCTCGAATCGCCGGTGTGCAGGAGGAGCGTAATTCTTTTAGAATAACAGGAAAAAAGCTAGGATATTTGCAATTTTTAAGAGGGACAAAAAAAACCGATCACGGTTTTCATTATAAAATTTTATACAATTAAACAAGAACGAGTCATTTCTAGAAAAATAGATAGAGAAAGATGGTCTTAACAAAATATATCTGTTGCTTGTAAAACTAACGGTCACTTCGTCCTTTTAGCAAAATTAAAATTCAATCATCTAGACATTTTGTAAATGACAAACTAATAAGTCATCCCTTCCCCTCCTTTGACAATGAAAGCGGATTTGCGTATCGGTGTTTCTAATCGATTGCATTCACAAATCCATGATGAAGAACTCGTGCGCTTGTTAAACAAACACACAGTCGACAGAGGGACAGGCTTTCGCCAATAAGATAATAATTGAAACAATATTTGACTATTGTATGAAATTGCGATGCCGATGACACTCCCGCTAAGACTCGAATTGTCTACTTTCAGGAAGAAGAGAAGAGAGGAGCCCTTCGAGGAATTGTACAAGATGCTGCTTAACGTACGCTAAGGTAAACATTTTGTATAATCTTGACGATGAATGATAGGGAGGGGTGAGGGAGGGGGAGGGGGACAAACGCGAACAAGTTTCTGTTAAAATCAGATACCAATCGACGTACATTATTTCTGAACAATTGTGTTATCTTAGGCCGTCTATACATAAACAGAACGATCCACAAGGTAAATTGTCTAATTGCTAATTAAATAATGAGACGTAACATTATAATACTCATAAGATTGTTATTTGGAACTAATAAAACGATGTCGCAGGCCTCCGTTGTTCCTCTTCCGTTAATCGGCCTCTTTCCTTCTTTCACTTGAACACTGCACTTCGTTACGTATGTAGTGAAGTATATTTTTTGAATTATTATATTACTAAATATTATCGAAGGCGAGACTGAACATATGGGCGATGATGACAAAAGATAAATATGAAGGAAAAGTGAAGAACAAAAATTTCTATGGAGGATTGATGAGATGCAGTGTCACATGAGTTATAACATTGCAAAAATATAATTTATTAAATAAATTACAACATTATAACAATATAAAGTCAACTGCTCTTAATACTGTATATGGCACTTTCCTTGCAGTACAACAATAACGCGCTCACTTTAGACCAGCTTGCTTTGTCACCTGAACAAGAAGAGAAGAGCGAATAGATCGCAACGTCAATTATTAATGTCATTAAACTCGCTTTTGCGTGAATTATATCTCGTGAAGTCTCGTCAAACGTAGGGTAACTTAATTCGTCATTTTATCACTTCTCCATTTGACTATTTCGATTGTTTTCACTTGATGATTGATCGAATTACCTGCTCGTATACAGTCCAAGCCATCGTGGTCATCAGAGTTCGCCTCAACATCCTAGGAACGATACCCTTAAAATATCCTAAAACACCGTACTTTCTATAGATAAAAAATGTCGCGTAGTAAATGCTGTTGAATTCGTTCGGATACAACTGCATCTTCGTCTTGATGACGTCCGGCGGTTGCGTAACTATGGAGGCTAAAATTCCAGCGAGGATTCCGCATCCGAAGTGAACCGACACATACGAATCGTTTGTCATTCCTGCGAACAAAATGATTTGTTTCAACAAAATCAATCAAGCTTCGATAATCTAAATTCTTTTTACTCGATTTGTGTTCCAGTATTATATTTGATTGTTATCGCACGAGCCTTTCTCCCTTGTATGTATCTAAATTTTTTAATTAAAAAGTATTACGAATCGATTATGGAAACTATAGGTTTGCCAAGAAAGTTTTCTAGTGTTTTTCTATAAAGTTGAAAAAACTAGAAAACTTTTCGAACAAAAATATAATTCTAAATTGTAAATTCTGTAATTTTTGTGCGAACTCTTTTGTTAAATGTAAAATGCTGTCATTTAACTACACACTGATTTAATGTGATTTAGGAAATATACCTGCACTGGCAACCACGTTTTTCAGTCGAGTATAAAACATGAGGTATAAACCGCTGTAAGGTGCATCTCGCAGAAGAGTAGGCACTAAGCCACTGGATAAGCCCCTTATTCCTTCCTGCTTGTAGATCGATCTGAGAGCCTCATTAATACTATCGTACTTGTAAACGCCGCTCTGTACAAAACAAAATTGCGCTCATGTAAATGATAGTCAGTTGATTGCACATTTATCGCTAAAATCTATAAACGAATTGATCAATTGGATGCACTAATGCACACTGCTGCGCATTAAAATATACACAGTGCACAAGCGAATTGAATTCGCCAAATGTTCGTGCTATAATTTTTATGATTATTTTATTAGAACAAAATAAAATACGTTAAACATTTAATTAGGCTCTTATACAAATCTTGTATATTATTTTTTTATCGCATCAATAATATGACAATTAAAGTTACGAAGAAAATAAATTTACAACAATGTAATAAACTTTAAACCAATGTGCGCTAATGCATCCGCTATGCTTTTCTTTCTTTCCGAATCATACCTCGAATCGTGTCTTCACTACTGTGATGGGAATCAACAGAGCGCCAGATATGGATCGTGCGGTGATGCCCAAAGAAACTGCCTGCATGGCTGTCAGAGGTTCTTGCAGGTCGAAAGTGTGCTTCAGCCAATGTAACGTTGAGAAGTATAAACCCACGCCAGGAACTACCCTAGTGATCGACTACAAATCAACGTTCATTACTAATCATTGAAAATCAATACGCATAAAATTAATCATTATTAATATTTAGAATATCTCACCGGCGTCATGCCTCTCCAGAGTCCGAAGACGTTCTCCTTCTGGACAATGTGCGACACCGTGCGCAGCATCCCATTTTTCGACGATCTACTCGAGATGGAATAATTAAGATTAATTAATAGAAATAAATTTTGAAAATCTTTAAAACCGACGAACTCGATTAATCAAACGGTGAGTTTAAAATCGAGCAAAAACTTTAATTTGGAAAAAATAAACCTTGGATTAAAAGGTGAACTGAGTTAAGTCAGGAACGATTAAATTATCTGAACTAAACTGAATCTCAAGAATCTCACGTGCAAATTAACAGGGTAAAATTGATTGTAAACTTGCAGTAAAAAAAAAGATAGAACCATAATTTCTGATTCTGAATCTGATTATAGCAAAGGTTACTGATCTTACCCAACGGGAACATTGACTCTGTTCTGAAGTCTAGTCTTCACCAAATCCAGAGGTTGAAAGAGGATCGTGGAGAATGTTCCGGAGAACGAACCCGCCAGGAAGGATTTCAAAATCGGGTACTGTGAAGCAACATAAGTGATAACTTAATCAAGTTCCAAAGTATCAACTTACTTAAAGATAAACATTCGAGGAACTTCATATTCGATCGACGACTACGCATATACGAGAATAATCACGCACGAGTTTCGTCGCACGAGTTCGCTCACGTGCGACGAACGATCTCGGCCTAGTGCACGATATTAATTGCTTTATCGAGTGACTTTGGGGTTATCGTCGCGTGGCAAACAGCTATTTTTCGCCATGAGCTGATATGTTATTGTGCGCGTGAATTTCTTCAGCGACGCGATCATTGCGCGACTTTTGACGTTAGCATTTAATGACGTTAACACTTTACGCCACAGGGGATCTATTTGTTTTCCGTTTTCGCTGATAAGCGAAGGCGAAAACAGGATTTCGTCAGACTAATGAGCTTACTGACGTAAATTTATCATCTGCGTCAAGTTTACATTGTATTAAATAACCGTCTGATGATTTTATCACACAGCCTTATATTCTCTTATTTGTCAATTCTCTCTTTGCAGGAGGCCTGCAATCCTCAATCGCGAATCTTTCACAAAATGATATATTATACAATACATTGGCAAATACTCCGAGCAAAAATTTATTGGCAAACTTTAAATTGATATTTCTTTTCTTATTGATAATCACAACACAATCTTTAATTCTTAAACAAGTACTACAAGATTATTCAATCCATTTTTTATTTTCCCAGTGTTGTACATGCAGTATTATTAATTATATACAAAGCTATAAATTTTTTAAATTTAATACTTTGGGGGAGACCTATTTATTTTAACAATTCATGCAAATATTTACCCATTATGGCAAAATTATGTATTCTAATTTTGTAGATAGAAAAGAATAATGAAGAAAACTTAAGTGCACATGCAAATAAAATAAATTTTTAAAAAATACGTCAAAATTTTGAAATTTTTTGTCATACAAGAATTTTGAGCATAACTTTGAAATTCTGTTGACGACGTATATTTTGTATAGCAGTGAATAAAACAAGGATTTGCACATCCTATTTTTCTTAGATATTTTTATGCAAAATTTAAGGAATTTAATAAAAATAGAAAATGTAAATTTGAAATATAAATATAGTTTTTAATAACTATTCATGATTCTCAGAATACTTACAGTTCCCAGAGCTTCCATGATAAGCCGAATTAAAAAATTTATATTTGCTGCTAAATCCGCTAGTACGAAATTTTAAAAACCCTTCGAAACTATATGTAAAATTATACTCAAAAATCTGTTTATCAACTTTTTTTACAGTAATTAATTCACCAATTGTACTATTAACAATAAACGAATTGTTTTTTTCAGATATGGAAAAATTTTCTCCCCACAAATCTTCGACGCCGACGTTAAACTAAATCACGTTTGGAACGTACATCGACTCTACTTACATCCCCGTTTATCTCCGTATCACCACTCCCAATGAGGTTAATAGAGTGACCCTGCATATCAGAGCATGCTCATGCGAGAAAGTTTCCGGGCTTATCAGCCGCCGAAACGTGATTTAAACGTGACTTGACTGGAAAACGTGATGTACTTTATGCTTGTACTCGAGACCGTCCTCATTCGACATTTTTCCACACATTGATAACAGTCTGAATCATTCTTCATGGAATCCTTTGCAACGCTTTATGGAGAATTCCTAAGGTAACAGAACATGACCTTTTTTGTTGATTTTAGATATAAAATTATTTATTATAATGAATTATATTTTGTTGATTTTAGACAAGATATATTTTATGATAAAATCAATAATTTTGAAATCATTGATAATTTTTTGGATAATTTGTGTTGATTTTATGTAAAATCATAAAATATTAAAATAAGTAACATTTCGTGCACGTTTTCAAAAAGAAAAAGATTTTAAAAAAGATTGAAGAATTGAAAAGAAATATAAAGGAATAATAAGTATTTACAGGCAATAATTGATTATTCCTGTTGAGAATTTATACTTTATACAGATCAAGCTATCTTTAAAAACCTATTAAAGTTATCTGTTTGAGTTTTTCACACAATTTATTCATGAAATATCTGATTTTATTAAAAATAGAATAAGTGGTGCATAAAATACAAAATAAAAAGTAACATGTGGATTATAACGAGAATTGACCTTGCAATGTTGCCCATGTTTTATCGCATCATGAAAACAACCAAGATAACTAAAGTATTAGAATAAAATACATTTTAATGAAATTCTGAACATTTGAGAAGCAATTGACCATGATGAAAGAGTAACAGTTATTGCATTATTTTCAATTGCTAATGCTTATCTTCTAAAAGCATTTTGGTTTATTTAAAGCATACATGTTATATTCTTTTCTTATCTATGATTCTATTTTATCTATCAGATTAGTTGTAATTATTATGTTTATCAAAAAATCCATTAATAACTAAATACTTGTATTTTCAATTATGATTTATAATTTAGAAAGTACATGTAATTCAAAGGCTACACATTTTTTGGATTTATTGCAACGTGGTTTGGCAAGTTAACCAAGATTCGTTTATCTTAGACGCTCTTTCTGTATTTTAAACAACCTAATTGTGAGAAATAATTAAACAGAAAAAAATTATACTAATTTTCGAACAGCCAAGTTATATTATTCGCAAACAAGCATATCAATCAAAAAGTATTTCTCAACGGAAAGGCTACTATGTGTTAAACATTTCTTAATTGTACAAATATTCCATACCACAATTATATTTTCGCACTGAATAAAACAAACGAAGCATCAGTTACACAAGAGGGCAAAAAAAGGTCACGAGTCGACAGAAAAGTCACGAGCAACTGATATAGCTATCAAGAGATAGGAGCGCAAAATCATCAACCTTGTTTATACAACATGATATGATCCTTGCACACTGTTGCACCACGTACCCATGTGACGAACCTATCAGCTTCGTTTTTTAACCGAACCCAACCAACAAATACATAGATGATCATCTATGAGACGCTTCTTATCGCGCATAAAGGTCTATTCATAGTACGATATTATTTACAAAACAATAGGTCTGTTTTTTATAGCTGAACTGGCTGCACTAGTTCAGAGTTTATCTTCCTCCTTCCAATGTGGAGGGAAAAAGATAAACTCTGAACTAGTACAGCCAGTTCAGCTATAAAGAACAGACCTAATATATCATGTCGACGTAGTGTCCAGATATTCTCACATGGCTTTTAAATAAGACAATTTACCATACAAAAGGACGTTGTTTAAAAATTATATACGAAAAAATTAATGTAATATGTTGTTTTGCACAAAGTGAAACTAGCTTAATTTGTTGGCATGTTATGTTGGCACGCCTGTGTTTAAAGACCATATGAGCTTACATGTAAGCCCGCAAAATGACGAATAGGGCAGCAGTTGTCTTTTTTCGTATGAATATTCTAAGTTTTCATCGTTCATAGTAATTGCGAATAAACAATAATAATATTTTTTGTAATGTAACAAATATTTATGCTGTATGAATTTTTAACAGCAAGGTTGAATGAGAATTGTATTTCTTTATAAACGAGTCTGTCGTTCAAATTTTAGCGCGGCGATGATGGGTGTAGCAAGAAGCGCTATCACGTGACCATTCGCGTATCTTGTGACCGCTCCGATCGATTGTGTTCGATCGGGACTTCCACGACTGCAAGTCGTCGGGAATAGGACGGAACAGAAAAGCGGATTGTGACTTTCAGACGGCAGATGCTCGGAACAAAATCGATTTGATTGTCTTCTTAGCCCGTAATTTTCAACATCAAAAATGGGTTCGCTCTTTCGCAGCGAAGAGATGACCTTGTGTCAGTTGTTCCTTCAGAGTGAAGCTGCTTATGCTTGTGTGTCCGAACTCGGTGAACTCGGCCTAGTACAGTTTCGTGATGTAAGTATCGTGTCATTATTTTATATCGTTTTTTAATAGCTAGCGATTATTTTCTCGCCACTCTTTGTAGCTTAGATTTTGAGTAGTCAAACATGAATTATCAAGCAGGCCTTTTACATTTCCACCTAAATGTTATGTCTTTCACGTTCACATTTAGTAAAAATGTATCTCATTTCAGTTAAATCCTGACGTCAATGCCTTCCAACGGAAGTTTGTCAATGAGGTGCGTCGCTGCGATGAGATGGAGCGCAAGCTGCGCTACCTGGAGAAGGAAATCAAAAAGGATGGCATCCCCATGCTGGATACCGGTGAGAATCCGGAGGCTCCGCAACCCCGAGAGATGATTGACCTGGAAGCCACCTTTGAGAAGTTGGAGAATGAGCTGCGGGAAGTGAACCAGAATGCTGAGGCGCTGAAACGCAACTTTCTGGAGCTGACAGAGCTTAAACACATCCTGCGAAAGACCCAAGTTTTCTTCGATGAGGTATGTCTCTGCTTATAATCACAAATTTTGACCTTAATTAGATAATGGAATGTAAGAATCAGTTGAATCTGCTTTTGCTCATGTTATAAAGTTCTGTCAAAGACAGTTTTTAAATCTATTTTGCCAAGGAAAGAAAATAAGAGAGGAATAACGAAGAATGAAACTAAACTATCAATGGAATTGTAAAAAGTGTATGTAAACCGTGTGTTTGGTTTTTAAAATTTGTCAATTGTTTTATATTTGTCCAAATGTCGGAATGTCATGGGGAAGATTTTGATGAGTTATGCAATGGGCTGTAAATATCAGCAATGGTGTTACTTGGAATGTAGAAGCGATGGACATATAAGAACTTTACCACGAAGCGCAGTTTTTTATTTGTTTTACAAATAATTTATCACTGAACAAGAAACATTTTGTTGTGTTTGCTCTGATTAGGTCACAACTTTACAAAAATTAATCTTACAGTACTTACTATTTGTTTGGCTTACATTTCCATATATCAATTAACATGTAGACTCTGGTTTTTTTCTATAACATAGGAATTAGTTGTAATAAATACGCTTTAGTGCGAAACACTTGATTACCTTAACGGAACTTGTTTGTAAATATTAGCTTATTGAGCATCTTTATACATTCTATATTATTTATAAAGAATTCATTCTTATAAAGTGAAAACTTTCATACAAGAAAATCTCTAATATGGCAACTTTTCAACTGACAAAGGAAGTTGATTAAAGGATAGCTGCGCTAGAGAGAGTAACGAGTCTACAAGCTGAGGCGAATCTTCTGAAATGCATGAAAAGCTGGAGAGACGCTGCGCGCGAATTAGATATATTCAGAAGCCTGTCTGTGCGCTTATGCAAGCGAATGCAGCCGAATTAACTTACGATTCGGGAGAATAATATAAAATACGGAGTATGAGACTGTCGCGACACGCGGGCACCATTGATCTCCGCCCTCGTATACGAATCGCCAGACATCAGAATGTTCTCGTTGTGTACTACTAATCATATTGTTGAGTGATTTTAGGATTATTAATGTGTTAGTGTTGCCGACTAACCAAAAGCCACTACTGCAAGGGACACAAGTCATTCGCTCCGCCCTGTCTCCCTTAAATGTCCCTTTGAGAGCTGTCCAGTCCGGTCGCAAGTTTTGTACAAGTTCAATTATCGATATTGTAGCTTTGCGCGAGGTTGTATTGTTAATGTCCCTTTGTCGTGTGTATTTAGCAAAGAATTCCTCAAAGTATCATAGTGTACATTGTTGTTCTCCTTGCATCGACAGTTTTCTGCACATGAACTGAGAACTGTTTCGAATTAGTTTGTAAATGTATCCCTTGAAAGAGCATCCAGTTAATCGTATATTTGTGTGACATATAATGTCCCAAATCGTAGTTAATGTTCTCTAATATTTCGTATTTCGTTTTTTCCGACGCAGACACTTGTCTTGTGATTTTAGTACTGTTTATTAGTGTTCTTATTATTATTGTTATATATTTTCTACCTGTCCCTTCCATTTTGTTCCGTTGTTATTAATTATTTTACTTTTTCCTTTCTGCATAAACGTAATAATCCATTGTAATCCGAGGAATAATGCATGTTTGGGAACAAACATGTTTGCACGTGTTACATTTAACTGTTTATTCAACAGGGTATTTGTGCAAATAGTTATTTAATAATGTGATGAAAATTAATTAGGCAATAATTCTTTGGTAATTGCTCAAACGTCTCGAGTTCACTGAAGTTTTACAACGGTTACTTTCAATAACAGATAACAACAATATTAATAATAATAAGTAATGTAAGTAGAAAGTACTTGAAATTTTTTAAGCGCAACGTTATTGTTATTGAAAATAATATAAGATTATCATGAAATTATTAGAACACCATGGAAGAGTCTCATAAATGAGCTAATTGTAGCGAATGAAGCATGAAGCTTTATAATTAATAACGAGTTAGTGGCAATTTGCATGAGTTTTACTAATGTCTGCAGTACATCACGTGTATTTCTTAAACATGTATTAGAGAACGTTGTATCGTACGCTGGTTCTGTAAAGGCTGCTTTTTGATCTGCACTTTGCATGTGTTTGCATTGTAAATATCTCGAGTACTTGGAATCTTATTGTTTTGGACAAAATTTTTTTATTAAGAGAATTCGTTAAAATTCATGCCGTAACGATGTACATAATTTTATTTTAACATATTTATAAGTAATGTTTATTAATATGTTTAGAAATGTATAGAATATGTATTATACAATTATTACTGACTTTATTTAGTGCATAAATTTCGTGTAATTACAATCTGAATTTGATATGATTTAGTGACAATTTGTAAGCGCATTTTTAAGTGCATAAAATAATTCCAGCCTTTATCGGCTTCGTGAATGGAATTCTTTGCATGTAGCATGCGTAACAGAATTGTAATTTTATATATATATATATTTCTATTTTATAATTATTTATAATAATTTTATAATTAGTAAAGTCGCTGTTATAAATAGTCAATAGCAATATTATCTAATTGTCAGATTGCTGCCGATATAAAATGGCCGATTTTGCATCAAGTTTCTTATGGCATAAAGTCTGCTGACAACGAACGATGTAATAAATGTATCAAATCGATTGTTTTTATAGAAAATGAATAACTGCTAACAAGAAGGTCAAAGTCAAAGTCGTGTATTTTTCCTTTATGAATTTAATTTGAATAGAATACAAAGCAACAGATGTCACTCGCTATATTAACACAGCAAGTACAGAACATGCAATGCAGCATTTCTAAAACTCATTCGGCTCATGTAATATTTCGATTAATGAATATTATTTTTAATGAGAAAGTTTTATTGGCAAATCGGCCATTTTATCTGTAACGATTTAGTATTAACTATACAACCGAAAGAATTAGGATAGCATGAATATTATATATTGTATAGTTCGTGATGCTTATGCGTTGTAAAGTAAACGCTTGAATTTCTGAATCCTTTTAAACCTTGTGTTTTTTTATTCGGTATTTGACTTCTTGAATTCGAATTTCTGATTCTAAAAATTTGTATATCTAGAAATTGAATTTTCACTCTTAATTCAAGATCCTTAACTTAGGAAATTTTTTATTTAAACATTTTGATTTGTTTATAGAACTCGGGGGGGAGTTAGAGAATCTACATAAATGTTTTCAAAACTCTTGCTTCTTTTCTTAGTGTCACGACTAAGCGTCACGAACTTGATATTATCGTTAGATGTTAGACGAAGCGTTGAACAAAAGTGTATGCAAATTGAAGAAAAGATCTCTCCTTGTTCTTCGACGCCGGTGAGTTGAGGAAAATTTCGAAAGAGAGTCTGATAACGAATGGAACGGGAGATAGGGCGAAAGAGGGGTGACCTGTGTCTGTTGCCAGGCTGAGCATGGAGGTGTCGTGTCGCAGATGGCAGACCCCAGCCGTGAGGAAGAGCAAGTCACTCTGTTGGGTGAAGAGGGCCTCCGCGCTGGCGGCCAGGCTCTCAAGCTCGGGTAATTAATGTCTGGCGTACGTCCATTTAATGCAGAGCGTGGTGACTTCCAGAGACGGATCAAAGATAAACAGATGTGTTTTATATCAGTTGAAACACAATTGAAACAGAACAGAACAGTCACGAGTTTACAAATGTTCGCAATTGAAATGTAGAATAAAATTGATGATTATTGTTTTGCTTTACAAAAGTCTTTCAATTGTAAATTGTTCGATAATTGTTGATGAAAAAGAATTTAAAGATAGCTTTGGAAAGATATAGTTTTGTTTAAGATTGTTTTTATAACTGACATAATTTAGTATTATTGAACTATACACTAACATCTTTTCGAATTTAAATGTTGTGTAATTAAACTTACCGATATTTATTGTAATAATTAAAACACTCCATAATCCTTCATTCTCATTTCATAGATTTACTTTTACTACATTTTCGATGTTTATTCTTGATTCTCTGGATTCAATCCGGTTACGAAATTCCGAATCTCCACGCTCTGTATTTGAATCTCGACGTGACAGAGAATCATCTTCAGTACGTCATCGCATGCCTATAGTTTGTGTTGCAGAATATGCATCCAATTCACTGTTGCACACACATCTTTTGCAATAGTGCTCGATCACTAATGTTGGTCCTTGAATTACTGACATGAGTAGAAAACGATTTAAATTCTTTTTCAATAATCCTCTTTGAAAAGCATACTTTCACCTTTTTTATCATATTTACATAATATATTTTTATATTGTATAATCTCAAAATTGTATCTCAAAATTATTCAATAGCAACGTTTACTATGAAAAATATCAAAATTTAAATAAATAAGACCGTTTCACTGATCAGTAATCCAAGGATCAAGAACAATTCAGGAAATGTGCAGCCAAATAAACGAAATCACCCGACGAATATTCTTATATGTACGCTCGAACGCAATTTCGTAGTATAATCGCAAGACGTGTCACAAAACCGAGCATTCAACACGACAACATTTCACACATTTACAATTCACACATTTATAATATTAATTATTCAAATTTCTATCATCTTTAGGATCCTTAATGCAGAAATGCTTTTAAAAATTTCCACAGAAAGCTGGAAAATTATTACAGTTATTCTTGCATATTTAACTGTCTTAAAATTTTGAATTGTTGAAAAATTTATCTGGAATGTTTAAAAAAATCAGATGTTTGGAATTCTCCATTAATTTCAATCTCTATCACGTTAAATCATTACACGACAACCACATCGGAGCCTTTTTACTGTGAAACAACGTTTTTACCTAACATTAATGTTTACATGTATCATAAGAAAATGTTGCAGTATATCGCAATGATCGTAATCCACCCTTACTGTCGTGTCAGAAGCTCGGCTTTGATACTTTGAATTGCTTCTTGCTTAGCGCAAGAAGTTCTTCAACATAGATGTAAGATATTGAAAGCAAATAGGGTTTAAGGGATCGATTGACGAAGGTATCATTGAATTTTCGAATCTTTTTTTTCCTCTCTTCGCACCCCGTATATCATAGTCGATACTAAAACTCGATATCTAGAAAGCCAATAGTAGAGGCACCCTACGTCAGTGTATTCTGTGGTTACAGCACCTGTATACTGCGGCAGACACCGTAGGAGCACATTATAGGAACCCGCTCAGGCAAGCTGTTATCAACCGTTATTTTCGAATCTGTTTGGAAACTGTTTGCCTCGATGTTGTTGCCTGTATCTATCCAAGATCCATAGCTCAACGAACGAAATCGCATATACCCTGCGTTGCTGGAGCATCGCTCGTGACAACCGTCTCGAACTTTCCTGACTTTTTATCTCGACGAGAATTTCTTTTCTCTTTGAATATTTGATATAGTCGAAAAACCTTCTTGCCACTCTTGATTGTTGCAATTTTTAATCTTAGAAGCATAAATTCAAATTTTTACAGATTCTAGATCTTAATTTTGCCTATTTAAGATTTATGTATTTAGAAAAGCTTGGAAAATCCCTGGAATTTTTAAGAAATATTTTTTCGTTGGGAGGAAATCAGAATTTTAAGAAATTTTTATTGAAAATGCTTTTTGGAGAATTCTGCTTTTATTTTGTGATTAATGCTTTATTTAATTTTAAATTTAAAACATGACTCTTAATTCTTCTAATGAATAGAAAACATTAAAAAGCTCATACGATGAAGAAATTTATTCTAAATCAGAGAATTTTCAGGAAATTTTTTTCAGAATTTAAATAAGCATTCTGTTTTGAATTGACTTTTAGACGGTCAGATATTAAAATAATTTTTTTTTTTCGTAATATTGATCGCTTCAAACTCGATCCAAAATATTGGAAAAACTCGAAGTCTCTTGATTATGCAAATCATCTTCAAACATTTTGCACAGCATTTTACATATCTTACGCTCCTTTAGATTCTTCAGGAATTCATTCTCAAGCAAAGTTCTATTTTCTCTGTCCTCGGGGATGCCTCAGCAAGCAGAAACGCACTTGAAAGACAAATGGGACTGTTCGCTTTTATAAATAACCGTCCGATGTTCACTGATCGATTGTGCAAGACAAGGCTCTTACCCATTTTTTTTTTTTTTTCGCAATACACATGTTTTAAGAAAAGAATACAATCGGCGAGGCGCCGACCAATAACAGTTGATACAGTTTGACGTCACCTGTTTTTAACACCTCTCAAAAATTCAAACTGTATCGAGTATCTTCCATCCGCAACAAAAACGAACGAAATCGAAATCCGCTCGCTTTATCTAGTTCGATTGCTCGCGTGACAAAATTGTCGTAATAATTCTTATCACGTAGTGATACAACGTTGTAAATAACAATAAATGATGATGGTGTGGCCATGGGTATGTATAACAACGTTTTTCTTTCTTAACAAAGGACTGTCTGTTTGTATGTGTTTTTTTTTTTCTAAGTGTACCGCTTGCTCGCATGCCCTTTGTCACGTTAATCTGGATCAGTGTGAATCGTTAGATTAGTAAAAGGCGCTTTGTTGATCTTATTTTTGTACAAAACTCAAAAATTCGTAGAACCGAAGAGAGATTTGAGAAATTTCAAGTAGCGACATTGTAAGAACTTAAGATCGATTAATCTTGGTATTTTTCTTAAGGTCTGTAAATTTTCGAAGATCTAAATCCTATTTTCAACGTTTTTTATTAATATTCTCAAGAACGTGTCTCTGATCAATTAGAATTTTGTAAATCGAGCTATCTATATTTTGAAAGCAATCTAGAATTCTCAAAATATTTGTTTTTTTTTTAGCAAGAGAAACAGAATTCTATTTAAATTAGCTCTTTGAGGATTTCACCTTTACTTTGTAATCGACTGATTTGCCTCTTTCTAATATTTGATATTTAAAATTGAATGGTTCTTGATTTTTTTCTATGAATATAAATAAAAAACATTAAGAAATTTATACCAAAATCAAATTTATTTTAAAATTGCATGTCAAAACGCTTCAATTCTGCCTGAAAACTCGCGAAACTCTTTAAGGAAATTTTTTTCAAGATTTGAATAGACGTTCTGTAAAATGAAAATCGAAATTCCCAAGATAATAAAAATCAAAATTTCGAAGATTCTCGCAATATAAAAATTGTTCAAACTTTAAAAAATATCAACGAAACTCCTTTAACGATCTAACAGCTTGGCTTGTGTGTCGCGCTTGAACAAATTGTTCCTATTTCTTATTTTACATCATCTGGCAATGATGATCTTAACTTTATCAGTGTTTCCGATCGAAAAAAAATATAAAAACTAAAGATATAAGTCTGACAGCAAAGTCGACTCTAATATGATTCGATTGACTGCCTTTTCAAGAAAAATCTGAGGATTGCTGGAAATTAATGGAAGTTTATGGAAGTTTTTCAGATTGTTTGCTAGGAATTGTACATATATTTATCTGAACGCAAGACTAATAATTTCTCGCCATTGCTTGAAATCCCCGATATAGACACGACTGTTTAGTTAAGATGAAAAAAATTGTTCGAACTCCTATCTTTATGTATATGTTATTTTGTTACTTTATTCTTAACACGCATAATTTTTTTTTTATACTTAAACCATTTTGGAGACATTTATGTATATCGTATATAGTTATATTAATGTTAGAGTAATCCTTTTGGTAGTTGTATAATTATATTTGGAACTGTTGAAGTTGTACTTTTTCCCCACACGAATGGTATAAAGTTACACAAGCATCCCTCAGTCGCGCCCCTGACTTGTCGTCAATGACCATGCAGTATCTATTTCGTTCTATATCGTATATCTATCGTTATCACTTACGCAATTCATATATGTATTTAGCCCAACAACTTGACGAACTTGAAATATCTCGACGCAATAGATTATTTTTCATTCCGAATCGATAAGTTTAAAATCTAATCTTTATATCTTCATAGATCTAATTTTTATATACGAAGCCGATTTCTAATTTTAAGACACAAAATTAGAAAGGACAAAATTTGATTTGAAAAATGTAAAGGCACTTTTGGAAATAGAAAAAGGGAATTAATAGGATTTGCAAATGTCACATCCTTCTCGTGTTTATGCAGCTCTTACATGCATACTTTATTTTTTTTTATTATTATTGCAAAAATATATTACTTGATGAAATAAATAACAGCTTCTGTTTCGAAATATAAGATAATCGCTTATCATATTTTCTCTCGCTCCATCAACATCGCACTATTAACATGGGCGTGCAAAATATTGAAACGTCACAATCGCTTGGCAATTGGCCGGATTCGGCAAGCAAAATATTAACAATGTTGGCAGCGAATTTTGTTAAATCAATCCGTCAACATTGCTGACATTTGGCTATCTAGACAATTTCCGCTCTTCATGCGTCGTCGAGGGATACTTCAAGTTCGTTCAAAATGACGGAACGTCGAAAAACTCCGTGCAAAACGAAAGAGGGACAGAGTGGCGAGTTGGAGCATTGTGGTCGTGTCTAGTGTGGCTAATGTGATTGTGTCTTGTCTGTTGTGTCGTCAGCAAGAGCACGCGGGCTTGAATCCCACCGAGTCCATGACACGCGCGTTGATTAGCGATGATAATATCGCCCGCCAGTCCGCCCTCGGTCCTGTCCAGTTGGGGTACGTACTCCCATTACTAGTTACTCCTTCCATCCTGCCGTTGTGCCAGGTCCCAGGAATCCGAAGAGTTGAATGAGTCCAGGAGGCTAGTAACGATCTTTTTCGAATTGAACAATCTGAAAATGCGGAAAGAAGCAACGTTCTCGAGCGAGTCACCTTTCGGAAATTTCAAAGAAACTTTTATCTTCCAACGAACGCCGGGACTTGTATTGCGAGATTTATGAAACTAATTGAAATTGATAAAATTGCATCTTGCCCGAACTTGTATTTATTGCAACGTTAAATTTTTGGAGATTTGAATTCTTGACATCTTGGAATTTTTCGACACTTTGGATACTTGGAATTTATTTATCTCGGTATTTTAATTTCTTAGAATTTCTTAGATCTTTGGAAATTTGTGGTCTTGGTGATTTGAATCCTTAGAGGTTTAAGACTTCAAATTTGTCTACTGTCTGAAAAAATTTGAAGCAGAACATTTTATGGACAGAGAATTTCTATCCAAAATGTCTCTTCAAAGAATTTGCCTCCATTTTGCAATCTTTCACTTCTTTCAATTTCTTTTTCAAATTTCATATTCAAAATTGGTGTGGCTTTTTATTAAAAGACTTTCGTAATAAACAAATTTACATGTAACAAATTTTGCTTAAAACTCTCTTGCTTGAAAATTTTATCAAAGATAAAATAAAAATTGTAGAAATTTCGAAGATTTTTTTTCCAGAGAAGATTTGAGTAAACGTCTCGTGTATTTATACTTCGCAGTTAATGCTAAACCATTAAATTTTTTTTAATTTGTTCTCGTTCGTATAAAATTGCACAGATAAAACTGAGAATTGGATGATTATGGACCTTTAAGAATCCAGAGATCCAAGACTTAGGAAGGTATATTGAACAATACAATTTAAAACAATAATATAAGAGCTTGCCATCGTAAATCGTGAATCGTTTCTTTTTTTTCTCGGTATAATGTGAATATTTCACAATCTGAACTGCATATTTTAATCTTTTACATGAAAATTTGTTATATTATACATTGTAATCGAGTGTCTCGAGTGGCATAATCTCTGCATGTGACGACTTCAAAACAAGTAAGAAAGTTTGAAAACAGTATGCAACAACTTTTTGACAAAGACGCATTGGCAAGCGAATCCCGTGCAGCACTTGGCATAATTATAACCCGATGTATGAACATAATTGCTCTACCCCCCCCCCGGTTCGCCCCTGTGACACACGTTTGCTGTTTGTTGGAGTTTGTCGCTCAAAGAGTGTGCTCAGGAATAAGATTGCTGGCAGAAGTGCTCTGAGGTATGTATAGTAAAAAAAAAAAGAAATGAGAACAGGACCATGGCTACAGAAATCATCATTTCCCAATTGGCTAGCGATTCTATCGGGAGATCCGCACGAGTCGTCGTCGTTGATCGATACAGATTGAAAGCCTCACTATATACCGATCGTAACCGATCATCACGACGCTTCCATTTAAAACTCCACCGCAAGAGAACGATGAGATCGTGGCGAGTTTCACCCAGCGCACATACCTGTCGATAGACATCCTAAGTATCCGTTTCTCCGATTGCTCTTGTCTGTTTATTAATATGTTACTTTGTGTCGTCACGCGAGCAGCTTCGTCGCGGGAGTCATCCTGAGGGAGCGCATCCCCGCGTTCGAGCGCATGCTGTGGCGTGCGTGCCGTGGAAACGTCTTTCTGCGCCAGGCGGAAATTGAAACCCCTCTGGAGGACCCCTCGACGGTGAGTGACGGTACAATGGCGATTTCAGTCGCCAACAAGGTTGCGCGCGAATGAAACAAGTTGGAAATTGTGAACATCAATTCAAGTTTCAATAACTTCTGCATTCGCTCTGAAAATGGTCTGTCAACTCTCTGGGAAATATTTTCAAACTTTCCTGAAGATCTATCATTGCACGGCGCATATTTCCAATTTTCTTTCGCAGATGGAAAAAGCGGCCTACTTTGAGGAAACTAATTCGACAATGATATTTATTTAGGGCGACCAGGTGTTCAAGTCGGTCTTCATCATTTTCTTCCAAGGCGATCAGCTGAAAACTCGCGTGAAGAAAATTTGCGAGGGCTTCAGGGCGACCTTGTATCCCTGTCCGGAGGCGCCGGCTGATCGCAGAGAGATGGCTATGGGCGTTATGACTCGCATCGAAGATTTGAACACTGTGAGAACGTATTTTTATACCTTTTTAAAAATTATTATTAACATGCGGTAGTATTCTTGCGAGAATAGTTTAGAGCGCGAGACAAATAATCTTGGTCTTCAGGTTCTAGGACAGACGCAGGACCACCGTCACCGCGTCCTCGTGGCTGCTGCGAAGAACATCAAGAACTGGTTCGTCAAGGTGCGCAAGATTAAGGCAATCTATCATACTTTGAATCTCTTCAACTTGGACGTCACTCAGAAGTGCTTGATCGCCGAGTGCTGGGTGCCCGTTCTGGACATCGAGACTATCCAGTTGGCGTTGAGACGTGGAACGGTAATTAACAGGACTTTGATTTTCATACTCACAGGTGTGAATCGTCTCTTCATGGTCGAAGATTAACGCTCCCTCTATTGTGTATTCTTACAGGAGCGCAGCGGCAGTTCGGTGCCGCCTATTCTGAATCGCATGGAGACATTCGAGGACCCGCCGACGTACAATCGGACCAACAAGTTTACGAAGGGCTTTCAGGCGTTGATCGACGCCTATGGAGTCGCCTCTTACCGCGAGATGAATCCCACGCCTTACACCATCATCACATTCCCGTTTCTGTTCGCGATCATGTTCGGCGATACCGGCCACGGTCTCATCATGTTCCTGTTTGGCGGCTGGATGGTGCTAAAGGAGAAGCCGCTGGCGGCGAAGAAGAGCGACAACGAGATCTGGAACATCTTCTTCGGCGGTCGTTACATTATATTCCTTATGGGCTTATTTTCGATGTACACCGGCCTCATCTACAATGACATCTTCTCCAAGTCGCTCAACATCTTCGGCTCCAACTGGGTGGTGCACTACAATCGCAGCGTGGTCTGGAACAACAAAGACCTACAGCTGAACCCCAGTTCCTCGGATTACATCGACTATCCGTATCCGTTCGGCATGGATCCGGTGTGGCAGCTGGCCGAGAACAAGATCATCTTTCAGAACTCATACAAGATGAAGATCTCCATCATATTCGGCGTGATACACATGATGTTCGGCGTGATGGTGGGGCTGTGGAATCACATGTACTTCAAGAAGCGCATGAACATCACCTGCGAGTTCGTGCCGCAGGTCATCTTCCTCATGTCACTGTTCTTCTACATGGTGCTACTTATGTTCATCAAGTGGATCAAATACGGCCCGAAGAACGATCTGATCGAAGGACCCGGCTGCGCGCCATCGGTCCTCATCACCTTCATCAACATGGTGCTCTTCAAACCGTCCGTGAAGATCGGCTTATGCGAGCCTTACATGTACGGCGGTCAGGCCGGTCTGCAAAAGTTCCTGGTGGTCGTCGCGCTGCTCTGCGTGCCGTGGATGCTGCTGGCGAAGCCGGTGATGATGATGCGCAACCGCAAGAAGCAGCACTATCAGCTCAACAATCACGGCGCCGAGAACGGCGACGTGGACGCCGGCATGGGAACGCTGCAGCAGAGCGGCGGCGGCGGCGTCACTCAGGGCGGCGGGGCTGGCGGTCACAAAGAGGAGGAGGAGGAGATGATGGAAGTATTCATCCACCAGGGCATTCACACCATCGAATACGTCCTCGGCAGTGTGTCGCATACCGCGTCCTACTTGCGACTCTGGGCGCTGTCCCTCGCCCACGCACAGCTGTCCGAGGTGTTGTGGAACATGGTGATGAGAAACGGCCTGGCGAGAGAGGGCTGGGACGGCGGCATCGTTCTTTATCTCGTCTTCGCCTTCTGGGCTGTGCTCACCGTGGGCATCCTCGTGCTCATGGAAGGCCTCTCGGCGTTTTTGCACACGCTTCGTCTACATTGGTATAATTTATCATTTTGTTAGGATTGTTTAGTAGAATATAAATTGTGTTTTATGTCTGCAACTTTATTATAGATCGAAAAAAGTATACAATAGACTTTAATCTGCACCATTGCGCGCTAATGCATTCGACTGAATTTACTATAATATTTTCTCTCTATGTTTCAATTTGGATCGACACTATATTGCTGATTGCCAGTGTTAATGACATATAACAGTATTTTTTATCTACAGAATTTTTGCAAAATTTGGTAGTCACAAATTTTTGAGTTTACCGATTTGAAATCAAAATCTTCAAATTCAACTTGGCAGATTTAGTAAATTTAAAAAATTACTCCATTTTTATTAAACTTGATTTTTATGATCTTTGAATTTGAATCTGGTATTTAAACTTTGAAATTCGAGAGAATATTGTTTTTATAAAACACAAAGCAAAATTTATTATATTCCAAAATTTTTATTTGCATATTACATTTAAATGAAATATTTCCAAATATTTATAAATTTAATTATATCTTAATTTTTTAATTAAAGATTTCTTAAAATTTCTGAAAAAGTTTTATATAAAATTATTCAAATTTTTAATTGTTACTTTGTATTCACGATTCGAAATTGCAAAATTTTATATCTCGAAAAAAATCTCAAATATTATTCATAATACCTACGGTTTCATGTTGAACTATTCCTAACTCGGTTTTCACATTTCAGGGTGGAATTCCAGAGCAAGTTTTATTCTGGATTGGGATACAGCTTCACGCCGTTCTCTTTCGAGATCATCCTCGATGCCGCGCAGGCCACCACTGAGGATTAAAATAATTATTTGTCTTTACTTAACAACTCCTCAGCAATTGTTTGTTTTTAATAGAAGAAGTTGAATACGAGGAGCAATAGGAGGATCAATTAAAAAGGTTTAAAAATTGTTAATTTAATACTTATTTCTTGGAATAAATCAGTTGCGAATAATTAATATAAACGAGATGACTCTTGTGAATATATATAGTCTCGATTAAGCCTCGATTATTCTAATCGATCAAAGTACGAATATGCTTTTTTTTATAATTATCTTATATAATTCTTTAACTATAGCGTTTTGTTTAATAAAATTTGTAAAATTTATAGCACCAAATCACGACGAGAAAATATTCTCACGTGTATGTGCATAAAAGTTTTCGTTAAATTGATAAATTGTAAATAAATTCAAGATTGAAAATTTTTTTTTTTTTTGTTAAATATAACTATGCTTCTCTCCTCTGTCATCGTCTAATATTAGAAGCATCGCAGCTTTATGAATTTCCAAGTGTGAGAACGCCGCGGAATTCTCCTTACATGTTGTAGAGCTTGTAGATCTGAAAGCAAAATGTGTGTACGTCGCATTGATAACCGATCGATCGATGTTATTCAATATATTCAACATATTCTGTATGTAATAAAGAATGTGGCATAGTGAGGGATGTTTCGTGAAAATTTGACGATTGCATCTTGCTTCAATGTAGATCTAGTCGGCATTTGTACGTAATTTGCCAAAAGATCCATCTTAAAATTAATCAAGATTAATTCTATCTTAAAATCCGAATGTTCCTTTCAATGCAAGATGTAGCCGTTTGGTTCTCAGTGTGGTGTAATATTATCCTCAAACTAAAACTAAATGGTGGTTAATTAACTAGAAATCTTCGTGCGAAACAAATGAAATAAATAACTTGTTGGGATATTTACAGAAAGCTACGAACTAGAAAACTTCAAAGTTTTATGAATAAACGCTTTATGTTGCGTATTTTCGAAAAAAGCTCACAATTTTATTTGCACAGATCAAATTGCACCAAACACTATTTTTTATTACGAATCAGATTAAATTCTTCCTCGCTCATTGTATTAAAACAAGACTCCGATATTGTTAAATTAAATTAATTAAACAAATTTACATAATGTATTATAAAAAGATTAAATAAAACTTATAAATCCATTTTATATAAAACTTCTAGCAAAATTCTTACGCTTAACAAGTACATCGAAACTTTGCTGGAAGTTTTATTTAGACTCGATTTATTAGCTATATTTAATTTTTATTTAAAATTGATCTTTTTAATATAAACATTATAATGTATGCATTGGAATTTTGTTGAAAGTTTTATTTTTAAAATCGTTTTGTTTAATTATTGTTCAAAATTGCATTGCTTGGAATAATACTCGAGCCGTTCTCGTAATTCTGTTTCGTAATATTCCAATTATGTGACAATAATACAAATTCTAATGATTTTCTTCTCTTGTCGTCCGAAGTTCAGTTGCTTTTGTTCAGTTACTTTTATCGGGCGCGCGCGCAGCTCTCTTCGCTTGATACGTTATCAACTGGTTTTGGATTGGTGTGCGATACGCAGGCGTCACTCGACCTTCGCCTCTAGCGCACTGCGCTCTTTTTTTCCAGTCGCTCCTCGGCGTCCAGACGTAGTGGGTTTGGCGCATCTTCAATCGCTCATTTATTCCTTCGTCGCATCGTACAGTGTCCTTGAGCGCACCATGGCATCTGTGTGTATTATCGGTTCCGGGAACTGGTGAGTTCCAGGAAAGGGCACGGGATCTTTTTTGAAGAATGTGGCGAACGAGAGCGGCAGCGATATTCAGAAGCGATGGAGATGGTGCGGGATCGATTAGCACGTGCCTGTCGCGCGCGCACATGCAGACGTTACGACGTACATTTGTTTACCGCGCGTGTGCTCCGATCTGCCGGAGCGATTCCGAGCTGACGAAGAGTTTTTGACTGGGAACATTAAGCGCGCTACACGACAGATAGTCGATGCCTCGTCGATTATTCGTTCCGATCGCAATTGATTATCGCGTTCAAACGAGAATTATTAATAACTGATTAAGAATTGAACAACGATTTTCTTTTGCCTGTAAATTTTGCTTGTGCAAATATTTAAGAAGATATCATGGTAAAGAATACATTTCTGTCTGTATGTATGTATATGTGTATGTGTGTGTGTGTGTGTGTCTGTCGCGGACGAAAATATGAGAAGCATATCAGCTCATCGCATATCTTATACGTATAATCTTACCTTAATTAAATACTAATTATGATTTACGATTTTGCAGGGGCTCGGCTATCGCGAAAATAGTCGGCGCGAATGCAAAACAGCAGAGCACCTTCGCCGATCGCGTTACTATGTACGTCTACGAGGAGATTATCAACGGGAGAAAGCTGACGGAGATTATCAACGAGACTCATGAAAACGTCAAGTATCTCCCAGGACATAAAATTCCCGAGAATGTGGTAAGCTTTAATTATTAATAGCTAACATATGTGAAGTGAAGTATTTTAAAGTTTTTAGCGCGTTGTCAATCTCTTTTTATCTTCTTCTTTTTCAAATTTTACTGAAATGCAGCGATAAAGATTTTCTTCTGTTTGCAATATTCTTGATTTCTATAATTTTGCATCTTCGACTGTTTTATAAAAATTCAGACACTTCAAATTTATTTGCATATGTTTTGTTATAAATTTTTTATCTTTATTTTTATTATATTTTTTATTATATTTCTCATTAATCTTTTTGTTATTATTCTAATTTGGAGTTTTTATTTTGTGTCTTCGAGTCGTAAAATTTTGAATACTAAAATCTGTTAACTGCTCAACGTCGCTATGAATCGTTATTCTCTCAAAACATCCGGTATTTTTTATTTCTGACGTGTCTAAAAAAAGAAGAGATAAATATAAACGCCCGGTTTCGATAATCACTATTGTATCCCGGATGCCGAAGTCATTCTTGATTGCCGATAATGAATAGGATCTCTGGAACTTTACTCGTTGAACTCTGACCACGATTAAAGTAGCCGTATTGATTCACTGACAGTCTCGGTATCGCGTTTCTTATTATCACGTACACATTCACGAATCTACATTATCCGTTTTTTTTTTACAGGCTTTATTTTCATTTTTAACGGGAATAAATAAACAGATGGATTAAATTATGCGTTTTATCGCGGAGCGTTCGATGAAACTGAAATATATCTTCCGCAAGAATACCGCGTCATGAAGAATCGCTGTGTGTGTGTATGCAAAACCGGCTAAGAATAACGCGTTTTCATGAAACATTCATTCTCTAGAGACGCGGTACTATAGACACCATTTAGATAAGCGAGAATGCATTAAAAAGGGCGGCGAAGTGCCGGCATAACATGTATTTTTATCTGGCTTGACCTCAGATAAGACGTCTCTATCTTTTTTTCAAATTTTATTGAAATGCAGTGATAAAGATTTTCTTCTGTTTACAACATTCTTGATTTCTGTCTGGCAGCATTTTTTTTCTCTTTTGTTAATTTGGAGCAGACTCGTGTAACTTATTTCACATTTGTTTAGAATAGATAAAATTATGATAATAAAATTTCCAAATCTAAGAATTTTAGACAAAGATAATGAAAGAAAAATAAGTTAATGATTTAGCTAGAAAGAAATCTAAATTTTTCTATCTGAAAACACTTTAATTATTTTTTTTTTTTTAATTGTCTGATGCTTAATTATATCATCTTTAATATCCCTTCTTTCGAAAGTTCTTGAATAAACGAGTACTTACAAAAATAACAAATCGGCTGTGGTAAACCGGTTTGTCATTAATTATTCATCGCTTTCACATTACACATTTCTAAGTAAGCATACCGTTTAAAGGTACAAAAATATGTTAGCTCCTTGTTTTCGCTCGGGCGGTGAAAACAGTTGAGTGATTTTAGAACAGCCTGTACACACACAATTGATTACGCGTGATAATCGTTAAAATATAAAAAAAGCACGAAGAAAACAAATATTGTTCTCGCAATTTTTTAACATTTCTTCGTATCGAGAGAGAGAAAGAGAGAGAATGATTTAATAGGAAAGCGATAGTTCAAGGTTGCGTTATTTTCCACTCATCACTCGTCACGATATAAATATTACGATATAAATAATAAATTACGATATAATGTAATTATTTTCACTGTCATCAAGCGCCATAATATCGAAAATATCTTGTGAGGAAATTGTGACACGTATGTGAACGAGGTGTCCTCAAATTATTTCTTTTCGATCGTAGATTCCGCCGTCGATTTGAAAACCTTGCTCTAATTAATAATTTTTGTATTTTTAAAATTCCAATACAAGAATAAATATTCAATTTTTTGTCTCGCTATATTAATTTTTTTTTATTTTTTTGCTTGTGATTTATCAAGCAGTTCTACATGCCGAGAAAAATTATCATCAGTCAGAACTCCAAAAGTGATTTTTTGTCGTCTTATCTTATTTGCATGGACAGTTTAATCAGTATATATCAGGATTACTTAAAGGTGATTAATTTGTTTCGAGAGGTCGCGGTTCCTGATGTGGTGGAGGCTGCGAAAGGCGCGGACATACTTATCTTCGTGGTTCCGCATCAATTCATTCGAAGGATATGCAGCACGTTACAAGGAAAAATCAAACCTACTGCGATTGGATTGTCTCTGATCAAGGTACATCTTAACTTTATTTAATTATACGCTCGTAATTGATTATCTTCCGTTTTTATAAGCGACCCGACAAACTTGCGCGAATCTCTAATATAAAACATGAGCTGTACAAAACAAATGTGGCACGTGTGATTCGATCCAAGTATACTTATTCCTAATATTTTTTCTAGGGCTTCGACAAGAAAGAAGGTGGCGGTATCGAGCTTATCTCTCATATCATATCAGAACAGCTAAAAATTCCAGTTTCGGTGTTGATGGGCGCCAATCTGGCTGCCGAGGTGGCTGACGAAATGTTCTGTGAGACCACCATTGGTAGGAAATTTAAAATTTTTAATCGAAATAATTCTAAACAGATTTTGCAAACTGCTACGCTTCGGCTGACTTTTAGTTTGACACGAAAAATTGGGGCCGAAATGTATTTTTGTAATTTTTGTATATAATTTATAATAATAGTTTTTTTGCGTTCCGACAATTGCGCTTCTTAATTGCAATATTTCATATAACTGTCAATGAGCGTGAAAGATATCACAATAGATATTTTTACTGCAACGATAAAATGATGACGATGCGATTCGCGATAATGCATCGTGCAAAATCGCATCACGAATGATGTAACTGCAAAAAGCGTTTTGCTAATCGACTATGAACTATTGATTCAGTTATGTATTTTTATTTTGCATAACGCTCTATTAGCATTTATGATTTATAGCATTCAAACACGATACGATGATTAATGAGATTCTCAATTTAAATTGACATTTGCAGGATGCAAGGACAAGATAAAAGCACCTGTACTTCGTGATTTAATTCAGACATCGTACTTCAGAGTAGTAGTCGTCGAGGACGTGGACTCTGTGGAATGTTGCGGAGCACTGAAGGTAAAATAAATATCTCTAATTATTATAATAAAATAATTAATTTAATTTAAATAATTAATTTAATTTAAATAATTAATTTAATTTAATCAATTAATTTATTTAATAATAAAATAATTTAATTATACAATTTATCATAATAAACTAGTTTGTTATAAAATAAACTGAAATAATTATTTCTGATTTTTATTTAAAGACGTCTTCTGTAACTTGTAAATTTTTAATAAGATTTATACGATTTTCAGAATATAGTTGCCTGCGGCGCTGGCTTTGTCGACGGGCTAGGTCTCGGTGATAATACGAAAGCTGCCGTGATCAGGCTGGGCCTCATGGAGATAATCAAGTTCGTCGACGTGTTCTTCCCAGGCGGGAAATTGGCGACTTTCTTCGAGAGCTGCGGAGTGGCCGATTTAATTACGACATGCTACGGTGGACGCAATAGAAAAGTCTCAGAGGCTTTCGTTAAGACCGGCAAGGTCAATAATATCTTTAGTAACAATTGTATTTTATTTCAATTAACGTATTTATATAATGCGATTCTTATTAGCATTAGCTTGCAAAATCAGATGTTTTTAAAATTAAACGTAGATAATGTTTTATTTTAGTTAATGTATTTATATATCTGATTCTTACTAACATTGACGAAATTAGATGTTTCTTTTTGTGTCTGAAAGAGAAAAAAAAATATTGCTTTAACCGTTTACAGTCGATCGAGACGCTAGAAAAGGAGATGCTGAACGGGCAGAAGCTGCAGGGCCCGTTCACTGCCGAAGAGGTCAACTACATGCTAAAATTGAAGAACATGGAGAACAGGTTCCCGCTGTTCACGGCAATTCATCGGATCTGCATCGGTGAACTAAAAGCGACGGATTTAATCGACTGCATACGCAGCCATCCGGAACACATGTAAGCTCACAATTGTCATCATAGCGTTAAAGGTGGTTTACTGACTTAAATATAGGGACAATTAGCTCGCGCGGAGAATTATGGATCCTTTATAATGCCGAGAATAATGATTTGACATTCAAAAGACCCCCAAGTCGAAAATTCCAAGAGCATAAATTGTTAACGATTTCAAATCCACCTTGCGATATTCTGTGATTGCAAATGAAACCGGTTCGAATTTCGTACGCTAAAACGTTCGCCGATAAGATAAGATAATAGAGATTCGGTAACATGTGGAATTAGTATTAATACCACAGGCAGATTCCGATTGCATACGATTATATTCTGATTATACAGTCTTGTGAATTGCGAATCTCGCTGCTCGAAATTTGCATGGATCTGCAATTTCGAGGATTGAACGTTCCAACGATTCCGAGCTGTCAGCAACAATAACACTTTCATTGTTATTTAAATTGAAAGATTTTCCAAGGCTCTACGAATGTAATGTTCCATGGATCCATAGTCTCGAGGATTTAATGTTGAATAGTTTAAAATTCTCTAGTTAAATGAAATTTCTGGGGAACCCTAACGCTAAATTACTTCAAATTTTACAATTTCAATCTTACGACTTCACAATCCATACGTTGGTTCCTTAAGGATCGAAGGATCTATAAATCCTAAATTGAAGAAAGTCGGACAATTTAGTGAAATGAAATTTTGTATCGCGTTGAGCGCGATGGATAAATGAATCGTTATACTTTACTATGGATATATACGTGCATATATATATTTTATCGAGGCAGAGAAAGACTTTATTCAATCGTTAATTTAAAACCGAGTAGACGAATTAGATCTATAGATCCCTGCTCGTCGATTGTTGTAATATGTTGCTGACGAGAACCAATTCCGTTATGTAAACCAAAAAGAGAAAGCAAATATAATTAATTGTTTGTTGACACAAAAAAAAAAAAGAAATAAAACTTAGCACTTCCGTCCCTCGTTTTCCTGGAATTTTCAAAGGCGATGGCTCTTTTCGATCCACGATCAAGCTCAAGAGACTTTAATCTTCTGACGAAATTACATACATTACTAAAACGTAAACGCTGGTCTCTTAATTAACTGCTGCGAAAACTAATTTGCGCGGGCCGACGATAAAAAAAAAATCGGCGATTGTGTCGGCCTGAAAGGGTTAATTCGCATTCGCTCCGTATCTAGGGACGAAGACACCTCGCCGATGCCGCTCAAATCGCCCAAGTGCCGCCTTTGAAGATGCTCAGCGTCGATCATCGAGGGGAGACCGAAAACCAGCGCCGTAGATTGCCCGAAACTAGTGAACTAACGGTTCAGCGATTTGTCGAGTGCAGTCGAAGCATTTTAATCTTTCCTACGATATTACAACATTACGAATTGCGAATAGTTGGCAGAATTTTGAATATTGATACATAATACTGATTGTATTTCTTTGTGCAGCATCTGAAAAAAAGTGTCATTCAGCTTGAAAGATTGACCGTTCCGTCGTGAAGGAACGCTCCATTAAATAATAAGACAAACGAAACGAGCGAATTGGAACGAGTTTCTTCAAGGTGATCAGTGCACTGAAATGGTGTTCGATGCGACTGTGATAATTTATAAACCTATTATTAATCATTCAAAATTATCAAATGATTTGTCTCATTGCTCTCCCGATTCACTCTTCTATGCGAAGCTTCGCTTAAGGTTGCGGATTATGAAATTACAATTACCATTCGACATGTGATCGAAAACTGTTTTACAGAGAACCGAACAAACGCTCGAACGGTTTATACTTTGAAACACTTTCGAATTTCTTCGGTTCTTGACCTGCGCGCAGCGGGAGTGAATTTACTTTTATCGAATCCGCGAGTTGTCGCGACGCCGAAGGACACGTCGCAGGGTCAAGTTTGCATTCGTGACCTTAACGCGTTATCGCTAATTTCGTTGCAACGCCCCTCGAAGCATGCGCTCGGTCTCTCAATTGGCCTTCGTCCAGAGCTTGCGCGCAAGCCGCTAGAAAATAATTCACGATCGCCACAAAGGTCAGCGGGCTTTTAAGTCAGTTGGTCAGTCGGACTTGGCGATTGATCGACTGTCGATCGGCGATCTGTTGGGGAATAGAGATTAAAGAGACGAGACGGGATGCCGGACGCGAAAAAACGAGTATGCATCGTCGGCAGCGGCAATTGGTATATAATATTTTCTTCACTCCGAGAATAATTAATTAATAATTCATTCCGTACACGATCGTGTTTTCCCTTTCCCTTCCTTGTATTTGCTTATGTGTGCGTATTTATCGGTGTGTGAAACTTCATCTGAGAATGCGAGCTATATCGTTTCGCCAGGTAAGTTTACATAATCATGCTTGGCGTTGAGTAATTGCCGGGAAACGGATTCATAATGAAAGATGAGAAATAATTTTGACTAAAGTTGGATGCCAAAGAATTAATTAATGTTAACTTCATTCAATATTGCGTTATTATATATATACTCGATTAATATTTGACATAATATTATTCGCTGCATTGTAATAAAACCTTTGCGATATAAATTAATTAAATAAAGTGCCAAAGAATGAATATATTTCGAAATAAAGTTCAATTGCGAGATCAATAACGGCGTAAAGGCAAGATGCAGTTTTATTCAACCTAGTTTGCGCGTGCCGCAATGCAATTGTGTCGTCTGTTCACTTATTGTTCCAAAATTAACTCGTTGCATCGCACGCAATCCCGAGGACACATAAGCGAGCAGCTGTCGCACGTTTAATAAGTAAAGTTCGCGAGGAAAAATTTCAGATTTCATATCTTGATTGCAATCCGCAATTGCGTACAAAGTCTTTATCGAATCGTGTTCAATTAAGTTTTACTAATAAATGCATAATGACTGTTGCATTAACAAAATTGTGATTTGAGTTGAATAGCACATCGATTGAGATCTCTGCGATATGATATAATAATGCGGGAATCATTTCAGGGGCTCGGCGATCGCAAAGATCGTCGGGGCGAATACCATGAAGTACAATAACATATTCGAAACTCGAGTGACAATGTACGTTTACGAAGAGATCATTAACAACGAAAAGTTGACCAACATAATCAACACTCTTCACGAGAACGTTAAATATCTTCCTGGACACAAACTTCCTGAAAATGTGGTAAGTATATTAATCTTTTTGTTCCCTGTTGACGATTACACGCTCGGTATAAAATTTAACTCATTTTTCTTTTATATTTTTGTACTTAACAAAAACCTTTTATTCTTTTGCGAACGAAATTTCAATTACGAAATCGATGAAGTAGCGCTGAAAGGCATGTGACTTGACAACTGGCGGTTTGAAAAGGGCTTTGATATTAAAATAACGAAAAATTGTGTCACATGCTGATTTTATTAGAGAAAATTTTATGAATACAATGTCCTTCAAGTCTCATATACTTGCTTTTATGATATTAAATTAAAAGTATCGGCACGAAGATCAGAAGCAAGTAAAAATATTCAGCGTAATGTTAAGAGAACAACGTTCGATTGCTTAATAATCGGTGGTGGTGCGAACGTAGACTTTTCCGGATGGCATGGATACACGATCGACGCCGCCCGGGAAGAGTTGCGGGAGATCCTCCTCCTTCACCGTCGGCAGGATCATCACTTTCTCGCCAGGCTGCAATAATCAAATAAATTCGCATATAATTACATTAAATAAATATCTCTCGTCGTAATAAAGTAAATCAGATATCGATACGGTAAAGCAATGATGTAAAACGTACCACCCAATTGGCGGGAGTCGCCACTTCCGGTCTTCTGTCGACGAGTTGCAACGAATCGATCACACGCAATATCTCGCTAGAACGAAAATAATCAATCGATAAGAATACGAATTGAAACAATTCGTAGATGTAGATACAAGACTCGGATGGAAAACTATTAAACGCAAAAGCATAATCAACTCACTCGACGTTACGGCCAGTGGAAGTCGGATACTGCATGGAGAGTCGCAGACGATGATCCGGACTGATGACGTACAAGGCGCGAACAGTCTGCGCAGTTTCCGGATCGTCCTTGCTCTGCTCGTCGATCATGTCCAATTGCACGGCGAGCTTGCGATCGTGATCGGCGATGATGGGATAAGGGAAAGCGCCGGGAATATCCCTGCAATACGACTTAATGTCCTGCAACGGGAGAAATCGCGACAATTCCACAAAATCGGAAAACACAATGAAGAATTAAGGAATTCTACGCGGTGAATAAAAAATCGGTAAAGAAGATCAATAAGTAAAAATGTAACAAGCGAATGAAAAGGATTTCTTCCTCGAATTCAATTTACGAAGGACGCTCACGTTGACCCAGTCCACGTGGTCCTTGAGCTTGTCGACGGAATGAGCCAGCAGCTTGGTGTTGCGCTTTTCAAAGTACGGTTGATGCACCGCGATACGACCCAGTTCCGTGGTGCACACGGGGGTGAAGTCCGCGGGGTGCGAGAACAGAACCACCCATCTGTAAAAGAAAGTTCGTAGAATATTAACTTATCGAATATTAGATTGTGAATATTGAATATAAATTGCGAAGTCACACTGTCAATACTCGAGAATAGAGTGCAGACGATATAAAATTAAACTTCAATTGAAATTATGTAATATGTTACATGCTTTTTATTCTCGAAAACAGCTCTCAATATTAAATATATCTATTAGCCAGTGCATATCTCTCCGTTAACAAGTGTAATCGGTTGTTATGGCACTTTATCAGAATTACGATGATATAACAGCGCGAATAATCCGCCTGATGTACAATACTTTCAAGTGCGAAGCACTTATTATAGTCGAGTTCTCGTTTGGCACTGTGCCAAGGATACACTTCACGTGTTGCGATATCCATTTATTTCAGCCTCACGGTCGTCCTTTAACTCCTCAATACAAATCACCAATCGGCTTATTTTTTTCAATTGCGCGCAATTTATGCGCTTCACATTTGCATTTCATTCCGCTCCCAACGAACTTGTTTATTTACTGCGTAATTTTGTGCAAGTAGATTCGTGAAGTTAATTGATTTAGAACAATTATATATTAAAAAAATAAAATAAAAGCATTATATGCAAAAAAGTAAAATTGATAATTATTTGTTCGTACAAAATTAATAATAATTTCTTTACAAGGGAAAAATAGAATGTAAAAAATAGTAAAATAATTTTATTACAATAAATAAGAAATAAATTTTGATTAATTTGATTTATATTGATTTATTTTATTTATTTATTTTGATTTATTGGTTTATATTGCAATGTCAAAAAAGTTAATTAAAGTTTTATAAAATTAATAACTTGCAAAATTTTCATTAATCATGCAAAAACTGGCATGGCATCAACAAGTTGTTATCTACAACAACTTGTCGGCGATTCTTGCTACAGTGGAGAGGATCTATTTTTAAACTGCATTTAGCAAATCACATATGTCAACGAATGCAAATTCAATCGTGTAAATAATCTGAATCCAACATAATAAATTTTGCAATCCCTCCGGATATATTCTGCTGATGGGAATTTATTTACGAAGATGATAAGATTTCACATGCACCGTGTATCCAATTAGTTTTTGTAACCGATAACGCGTATCTCACACACATTATCTCATATTTTTTAATATTATAAGCTGTTATGCTATATTTAACCTTGTAAACTTTTATCTTGAACTTGATTCAAATTCAATGATAAAAGTTTACAGAAAAATTTCATACTTCTATGTTGATTTTCAAGAATGAAGATGCTAAATATATGAATTAATCAGAATAAGCAGATAAAATAATTTTTTCTCGCAAATTATTACTTAATATCACATTATTTCAATATAATAATAAATTATAATGCTTAAAAGACGCACTATAATATATCATTAATTGATATATAAATATGAACGAAATATTATTATATATGATAAAACAACTCACGAGTTGCCCTGCCATTCGTAAAACTCGATAGGGCCTTGCGTGCTGTCGACTTTGAAATTTGGTACGATGCTGTTAAGCCTCATTATTGCGTTGCCCTTGAATCAATGGAATTATTACTTGCACCACGACCGTCTGTCTCAATGGAATGCTTGTGATGCACTGATGACTCGATATGGGCGAGCTACGTTGTCTCTGGAAGCTCGTCCACACGCTTTATATATGGCACTCAGATCGCTTCAACAATATGATGCAAACGTTACATCGTCAGATATCGTATCTCATTCGATTTCATGATGATACCAGATGTTTGGATAACCAGATAGTAATTGTTTGATATCGCGATATTAATAAAATTGACTTCCATGTAGAACGGAAGCTGTAAACAGGAAACTTATTTCTTGAAAAATCGAAATGCACTTGAAGATGAGAGGCGAGCGCCACAGGCGTACATAACGCAATGATATTCGAGCTCGTGCAATCTTCAATTATGCGAGACTGGTCTTCATGATCTTCGCTTTTAATCAGGATCAGTCAAATTGACTAAAAGAGATTAGAGTCTCGTCATCTACTTGCCAAAATTATTTCGCAATTTTTCCAAATGTTTCTATACATTTCGCGCAGCACAGAATTCAATAAGATAATTCTGAATCACAACTTCCCATAAAAATGAATATTTGTATTTTTCTGCAAAAGAATTCCAAGTGCACGAAATAAAATAAAATTATTAAATTATTACGTTTTGAAAATTTAATGTTTTTACCTTTGATCAATCCTTCAAAACTTAAGCTTTCATCTGAAGCTTTCTGATTATTTTTCTAGGTCGCCGTGCCCGACGTTGTGGAAGCCGCAAAGGACGCAGATATTCTCATCTTCGTCTTGCCACATCAATTTATTCGCACGTTGTGCTCGACGTTGCTGGATAACATAAAACCAACTGCAGTCGGTCTCTCTCTCATTAAGGTACGTTTTAATTAACTCTTGCTTCCCGTTATAATTTATTTGGTTAAGTTGCTGAATTCAAATCGAAGGGTTTCGGCCGAGGCGAAGGAAACAGCATCGAGCTGATCTCCAAGATCATCGAGAAGAACTTGAGAATACAATGTAACGTTCTAATGGGCGCCAATCTCGCAAACGAGGTCGCCGAGGAGAAGTTTTGCGAAACCACAATCGGTAAGTATCTGCTTTTTTTTCGTCCTTATCTCGTCTTAAATTATATCATCCAAAATTCTTGCAAAATACGTCCTCCATAATACTACAACATTCGACTTGAAATTTCAGGTTGCAAGGATAAACGACTAGCGCCGGTGCTAAGGGACCTCATACAGACTTCAAACTTTCGAGTGGTCGTCGTGGAAGATTGTGAGACCGTAGAAGTTTGCGGGGCTCTGAAGGCAAGTAGTCGGTCCTCAAAGAAAGCCGAATTATCTTCTCAATTACTTCGGTTATTTTGTTTTCCTAATAAAATGTCTATGGCGTTTGTCGACTGACGCTCTTGCATCATCTTGCAGAATATTGTGGCGTGCGCAGCTGGTTTTGTGGATGGCCTCGGCTTGGGCGACAACACAAAAGCCGCGGTGATCCGATTAGGCTTGATGGAAATGGTCAAATTCGTCGACACTTTCTACAGCGGTTCGAAACTCTCCACGTTCTTCGAGAGCTGCGGCGTGGCAGATCTGATTACCACCTGCTACGGAGGAAGGAATCGCAGGGTCTGTGAGCAATTCGTCAAGACTGGTAAGGTGAGGATCTGGAAGCTCTGTAACGTTTCTTTATTCACGCGATTATAAGCTCATTTTAATTTGGAGCAGCTTCAACGGGAAATTTTTATTAAACAGTATTCAAAATTGAGCAAAAATCATTCATTAAAAATTGTAAAGTTTGAAAAATAATGCATCTCTTATTTTATATTGAAACGTGAAACGTGCTTTAACGTTCTTATTGGAAACTACTTGTGATTAATATTTTTTTCATAATCCATTTTTAAGCGATAACATGTTTGTAACATATTATTGAAAATATGACAGACTATTAAACAACTGGAGGACGAGTTGCTGTCTGGACAGAAGCTACAAGGACCGGCAACAGCAGATGAGGTCCACGACATGTTGAAGGCGCGAAATTTGATGGATAAGTTTCCCTTGTTTACCGCAGTACATTGCATCTGCACCGATCAACTGCGACCGGCGGATCTCATCGACCAGATTCGCAGCCATCCCGAGCACGTGTAAGACTTCCACATCGCGATTATTACAGTTCATATTAGCACTTGAGACAATTTCTATATTCCAATGAATTCTGCTGAGTTTCTACTGATTTATATCTCTCATTTTAGATCTCCGATTTTCTAAAACGTTCTTTATTATACAAAGATGAGTCAAAAATTTTCCGTCATTCTAAGAATTTAAATAATAGCTTATTTTTCTATATAATCTATAATTGTATAAGTTTCAACACACTTTTTCCAGTAGCGACAGCTTTTCAATTTCTAAAAAAAATTTTGATTGGGAAATTATCCAATTATGCATTGCAACTTTAAGCTCGTCATTAAAAAAAAAAGTAGTCTTATCACATTCTCCAAACAGTCGAGACTTGATACCGTCAAATTATCGTGCTTTTAAATCATCAAAAAAAATCTGAGAGAACGATAATTTGGACTGTATGAGAGAAATGCGGTAAAATACTTCTCTAACGAGTTTAAAACTTGCGGTGCTTAATGAATAATTTCCCAATCAAAAGATTTTGTTCAGAGGAAAATTACCGATCCACTATTTTTAAATTATTTTTTAATAACTTTATGGACAAATTTTAACTCGCCCTCATATAATTTGAACAAATTAGAGTACAAAAAATCCAAAAGATAGCAATTAGTTTCATATAATTAACTAATTAACGAAAAGATGCCATTTCTTTGAATTCATTCCCTTAGATTCGCCCCAAAGAACCTCTACATGTACTAAGTCCTTTTCCTCGCTATGTTTCCCATACATATTCTCCTTGTTCCTATCTGAATATTTAACCGAGACTTACATGAAAAAGGTGAGGTGCACATAGGTCACTATTATCAGCATTGTACAGAAACATATTTAGCAATCTGTGTATGTTCCAGAATGAGATTAGAGCAGGAAGGTGCATAGTTATCGTACGGGACACATGAATTGGACTAGAGACAGCCTGAAATACGGAGAAGAAAACAACTTAGACAGCAAAAACTTGTATATATTTTCAGCATCCATCGTAATTCTATTGCTGTAAATAAAGATTACTTTCATTATGGATGAAGATTGTGTTCTTTAATTAATGTGAAACGTACAATATATTTGTTACTTTTGTACACTTATAATACATCCTTATAACATACCTGTAATGCACAATATTTACAATTACCAATAATAATCAAACATTTACAACTTGTGACTCTAAACCATTCTTATTTAACTTCAGTTTTCATTCTCTAGAGATTGTCTATTCGGTGTCCTTCGACATGGGTTTCCTGCAGCTTGATTTTACTTGGTTTTTACATTCCTTGTCCAAATTATCATTCTGATCTTTATATGATACATTATCCACCAGAACATCCGGAGTGAGTTTTAATGCTAAAATGCATTTTGAATCATTTAATTTGCTAATTAAATAATACAGATCCTTGTTCTTAATGTTAATTCATAATTATTACCTACCTACTTTTCCAGGTGCAGTTTCAACCACCTGAATAACAGTTGTTCGCACCTCATGTTCGACTTCCAGTGCAAATTTATTCAACTGAAAGAATAATAACACAAATTCTTTTATTTAAATTTTATACTAGATTTAAATAATTTGCCTACTGCATGTATGTTATATATCAAAATTGAACTAATATACCTCTTCAATGGCCGCTGAGTTGGTGACATTTTTATATTTTCTATATTCTTCGTTTATTTTATTTCTTATCACTAAAGAACACATTAATATATTGTTCATTTAAATGACATCCATAGTTTATAGCTGCAGAGTTGTTGACATTATTGACAAAGCAGAAAGTTACCTTGCAATGCATGCTCATCACCCTCAAATGTCTTCAATCTTGTTCTATGGAGTTTCTTAAACACTCGCAACACCTGAAAACAATGTATTATTATGAAGATAAATAGACAAATAAAGAAGTTACAGTTTTATTACAATAAAATCTTAAGTACAATTTACTAAACATTAGTTCTTGTTAAAATTATTATTACTTCTATCTTATAATTTTTATATACATATCAATGAGTTCATATGATTTTAAATATCTTCTCTAATTTGTATCCATTTTTACACATTGTGATATCTGATTATCATTATTTACAGAATTTTTAGAAATGAAAGAGAGTAAAACATCAAAATATAAAAAAACTTTTAGAAATATAAAAAAAGTAAGAAAAGATTATTGCTTAATTATTAATTAACCTCTCTTCGAAGAGAGCCGCCCATCTCTACCATTTTTTCAATTATTATTTGTTACAATTAATAAAGTTATTTTTCTGTATTTATTTAGAAAATATTCCACCATTTATAATCGCTTATGACAAGAAGAATAAAATAGACATAGATTGGTGGGCAATAAAGTCCTAAATAAATATGCATAAAAAATATTTAGACCAATCACAAGTGCAGTTGCAATCAATGTAAATTCGACTTGAATCAGCTGTTAGGACGAATTGAGCCTAACCTAACATCACTCGTAGCGACGACAACCACATGGTGACGCGCGTGTTAAGTTAGTCACGCTTTGACCGCATGGCGTATTTTGAGTCAGTTTACTTTATATCAGATTTATCACAATAAATTGTACGATATGACTGATCACCTTCATTAATGCAAATTAAAGAGCATCGATTTATCATTCGCCACAAAATGGATGACGAAAATGCGGCGAAAATCGAACTTAGAAAATCGAGGAAACGAAATGGCGAAAGAGAGAAAATTGAAGGTGAGTTTTTGGTAGCTCAGACAAAAAATTTAAATGCTTTGTTTATCCGAACAGTTCGAACAATTCAAAGTGAAAGAAAATGAGCGTCGAGTCTTGGACATCTGAAATAATTTGAATGTAATCAGGTCGATTTGGAATATTTAAGTCTGAAGATTTGAGTTGTTTGGACAGTAATAAAAATCAGTAAAAGATATGAATTGGAAATTGAAAATGAACAGTTTTTTCGTTTTTCTTATGCGCGTGTGTGCTTATATACGTATATTAATTCTAAATAAAAAACCTTTGATAGATACAAATATGAATAATCATGTGAATAATCATCACAAAATGGACAAAATATTTCAAAATAATATTGTACAAAAGAAACAGACAGGAAAGAGAAAGAGAAAATCCATCGTACAAGAAACCGAGAGTTTATCAGAGAAACTGGAAGAAGCCAAGTAAGATTTTTCGAAGTTTTATCACTATACATAAAAAAATTCTTTTTTAAAATTTTATTTTAAATTTTATTATGCAATTTATTCTAGTAGTAATGTTACTATCGATGAGGATACTGCGAAAGATGCCAATGAAAAGACTTCAAAAAAACCATCCAAAAGGCAATTGAAGAAAGAAAAAGCTATCCAAAGAGAAGCTCAAAAGAAAGAGACTAATAAAATAAATGCCATGCAAAAGGCATTGAACTATGTATCCATGGTAAGTTTTTAACAAATTACTTAATATTAATCTCAATATTTAAAAGATTGGTTTAAAATGCAATACATTTCTAGCAGCATTTTTTTTGTATATATAAACATTTTAGACTTCATAGCAATTTATTCGTGTAAACATTTTTTAATTGTGTTTTTGCAGTGGAAACATTCCAGGAGTGAGTGGAAATTTGAGAAGCTTAGACAAATTTGGCTGATGGACAATTTGTTGGATGAGAACTCCATTTCGGATATAATCTTTCCTGTCGTTCTTGAATATTTTGAAGGTTGTAAAGGTATGGCACGGGAAGTATTATTACGAAAAGGAATGGAGGTCATAAGGAAAGCTGAGGAGGAAGAGAACGAGGAAAACAAAAACGAAATTATGGAATCAATTGCTTATAAAAGAGCGAGGCAACTTTTACAAACTTTACCAATTGATATGTAGTTTTAAGTTGTGAAGAATGAAAGACATTGAGGAGTAAATGCATGAGACTCGCGAATATCTGTGTGATAATGTGTGAAAAAATTGCTTTATTTGTAAGTTTCTTGTTATGAATATCATGATTCAACATGACTAATACTGATGAGAGACACCAATTTGCACAATTGAGACAAAATAAGTTGTTGCCTTTTGTTATGAATGCTCCATCGTGTTTTTTGTAAAATATTTTTGCGTTTAATCTAAAATCTTGAATAAATTCTTAACACTTTTATTCATATATAAAATATATAATTGTTAAAAAGGAAAAGTTAGTACTCTTTTACTGCTAAGAGAATATCTTGAATGATTTTTGGACAAGATTTGCAGGTGATAATCCTCAAGGAGTGCTAGCAGTGAACGAGTTAATTAAAAGTATAATACATAAAATGATAATTGTCCACCTAAAATATCTTGGAAGTGCGTTATTTGAAAAAATGTTTCAGACAAAAGTTGTTTGATTTCAAAAGTGCAATAAAACAGTAACTTGATCTGCCTTTGAGTGGCATCACCAAGGTAAGATCAAGGTTAACGTAATTTCTTTTAAATTAAAACCAACATTTGTCAAACATTTTTGAAATAATATGTATTTCTTCTGAGCATATGGGCATTTCAAATAGATCTTTATTATTTTGTACATAAAAATCATATTAAAAAAACATAAATTTTACCGTTTAAATGTTTGAAACTTTTTAATCTTATTTGATATTTTATACATAAAAATATTAATGTTAAACTAATAATCTTGTTTGATGATTTAAATTTATTGAATAAAAATGTTTATATTTAAAATGCATAATCTACAATGTCCTTTTCATTCCTTTATCATTTTAATGTGTTGACTGAGAAAAAATTGAGAGGAGAGAAATGAGGATACAATTTACTCAACAATTAAGAGGAATTTATCACATAGTTGCAATGGTAATTACATCTATAAATATAATACCATTTAAAATATGTAGAAATTTTCTGCAAAAAACTCAATAATTTACCACATCCACTAAAAGTAATATACACAATAATTTTTAGCTACACTATTCAGCATATTTATTAACAAATTGTCTGAGCTTGTCAGTATCTTGAAGACCGACTATTCTTTCCAGGACCTTCCCATCTTTCATGGCGATAAGTACAGGTACAGATCCCACCTATAATATAAAAGCATATTCTTTATAAAATATGCAATACATATATATTACATGTTTTTTAATAGCAAACTCGGCAAATTTTTATTGAGAAAAGACTCAACTTCAAATTGATCATGAAATAAGTTGTGCAAAATTTATCAATTTATGATGTTGAAGTAAATCTTTCCAAAAATCAGACAATTGTTACATTGGCACTGTGCAAAGAAACTTACACTATAATCAAGAGCGAGATCTGTGTTCTCATCAATATCAACTTTAGCCAACAGTATCTTCCCTTGCTTCTCGGCAACAACTGTTTCTATTCTCGGAGTCAACATGCGGCATGGATTGCACCATCTGGAACAATAATGCATATTATAATTTAATTAAGTATTGAAAACTTGATTATTATATCTGCTTATTATAGATAGAACAGCAAGAAAGATTTAATTTATATGTACAATATAGCTATAAAAAACCAAATTTCTTATAGTATGAAAAATACAAATTATAATTGTGTGACACATACGTGGCAAAAAAGTCTATAATGACAGGTACTTTAGAATTCTTCACACGTTCGTCGAAATCTTTTGGATCTTGAACCTTAAAGGTAGCAGACACTACTTGCTCCTGTGCAGGTACTGTAGTATACAGCCTACTACCTATAATACTACGAATAGTCTTAACTCCAACACGCTGCATTCTTAGCTCGCTGGTTGTCGCTGGTTCTGTTATTAACTGAAATGTATAATTACTGAATCACATATCACATATAAAATAAGCCAAATTTGATACATCAAAATGCTCAGTGTAAATAGATTGCTCTTACTAATTCCACTAATAATTCTATTAATAATAAAAAAGTAGCTTGCAACAAGATTTAAAAAGTTATCATCTTAAGCAGATTATAATTAAACTAAAAAATAGTTTTCATTAAAAGCAAATGTATTTATTATTCTTTTATTATTAAGAAAATCTTATTGACATTAATACTATCAGACATTTTTTTGTCGGCCACCTTGTATATAACTAATCGACAAAAAACAATGCGCAATGCATCTATAATCTCAATTTTTACGTGTCAATGTCATTCGACAGATGTTTGACATATTAAATTGGCATATTAATTTGCAAATATGTTTGTTATTTTGTTTCTTTATTATTTTCTCACTTTTTTTATTGCCAAAAGCGAATTTGTCACACGTTACAAACTTTATCGCAATCAATCGCAATATTTTTTAACACTTGTATCAGAACCATAGACTCACAGTACATAGTAAGCGCAACTCTTTTTCAAACAGTCCGAAACGAAATGCGCAGTCAGATGGCATTGCTGGACAAGTCACATATTTCGCATATCTGCATTCCGTTGTGGACTAGACAAGGTGGAAAAAATTGCGCTGGAGTTGCACTACTATTGCACACTGCACACGTTGTGCCATAACATCCTGTTCAATCCTGTGCTAGGAGCAAATTATCGGAGCAAATTATCTCGTGTATTTTAATTGTTGCGATTTTCGTACTTTAAATAACAATGCCGCGTGGTGAGTACATCTATCCATCTATACTTGTTTTTTTGCGCTCTCCTGAAAAGAGGAACTTTTCTTCCTCACTTTTTTTCTTAGGAAAGACGCAATTTCCGCACTATCCATTATTGTCATGATTGTTTTGTTTGTCGTACAGGAAAGTATGTAAATCACAAGGGCAGAAATCGGCACTTTACTAATCCTGAGGAACTGGAAGAGCAACGGCGCCAAGAGGAGAAAAAGCAACAGTGGAGAGTCAGTTATTTTAGGTTAACTGTCAGACATCGCTATTTAAGTACTCTTGTTAAACGAGAAGATTTATTTTACAGAAAAACAAAGGACAGGGTAGTTCCAGCGAAGAAGAGGACGATGAGGAGCCCAAAGCGAGTGGAGCTAATAGGTCAAAGAATTTAAGTGGCACAGATAGCGAGAGTGAATCGGAGTCTGATTCGGAATCTGAGGTATTGCAATCATTTGACCTAAATAAACTAATTTAATATTATTATATTTGACAAGTTTTATGCAAACTGTGTATTTAGAAAATTACTAAAGTTTTTGATAAATAAAATAAATAATAATAGATAAATAGATAAAATAAATAGTGTAACTTATAGATATTTTAATTCAAACACATCTTATTCCTCATTCTTTTATTATTTCTTTCTTTACAGGCAGGAAAGGCAAAAGGTGTAGAGAATCTAATACAAGTAGAAAATCCAAATAGAATACAAAGGAAAACGAAGAAACTTTCTCAATTGAATCAAGCGTTAGACACTTCAAAACCAGAACTCTCACGAAGAGAACGGTATGTGTGCCAAAAAATTACAAAAATTGATTATTCTTTTATGTTTTTTCCTTTTTTTTAATTGCATGATTATAATTTTAAGTAAGTGTTATGCTTGGAAATACAAGGACAGTCCAGATAGATAAGAATATAAATATAATAACAATTTTACATAAATGTTATTAAAAAGTTGAATAGAATTTTAAAAAAACATCAAAAGTGTTTTTACTCGATTTTATAATATATATATATATTTTTTTTTGTATTTGTATCTTTATTCCCTGTAGTATACTCGTACATCGTTTAAGATCACATCTCATTCTTGTTATTAATATAGAATTTATGTTTCAGGGAACAATTGGAAAAACAAAGAGCTTATGCAAATTATCAAAAATTGCATGCCGCTGGTAAAACGGAAGAAGCTCGAGCAGATCTAGCACGATTAGCTATAATTAAGCAGCAACGAGAGGAAGCAGCTAAGCGGCGTGAAGAGGAGAAGAAGCAAAAGGAAATGGCCCAACAGAAGAAAACTGAGCTAACACAGAAGGCGCTTGGGAAAAAGTCGTAGGACAACGGCTGCTGATTATAATTCATCATTGTAATATTAATATTCCGACCTCTGCTCCGATTTTCAACTAATCACGAGAATTTGACGAAGCAATCGGTATATTTGCTATACACCTTTTATGATATGTTAATGTCATTGTTTATATAAATATAATTACATTAAATCCATTCTAATATTTCTAATATTAATCATTTTTGTTGTTTTATATATTTGCGCCGAAACTAATTAAAATGTATGTCTTAAATTAGAAAGAAGGTTCCTCTTCCTGTAGATTGCTCTTATATTGCTCTTTAATATATGATAAAGATTTATCCAGATAAACTTGCATAACCCTATAATGTAGTACATAAAGAAATCGACCAATCACGCATTTAATGAGGTTATGCAAGTTTGTTGAATGTACCTTAATTGCATGTGATCGGCGTATACTTCCAAATAGATTCCAGTATTTTTCCAATGCTTCTTATTTTTGTATAATTTTTTTGCGAGCGTAAATCTTTTTTACATTATTATTAGAATTCATAGTTTTATCTTGTTTAGAAGAGAAATCCACATCTTTGGACAGATGATAAACACGCCCGCCAAGTGAGACCTTTTTTCACTCGAACTAGATTTTGGTTCACTGCGCATGTGCAAGAAGAGTGACCGAATAGGAACCAAGATCATCGAACACATTCCGGCCGTCTCTTTTCACTCGACTGGCCATGATTCTGAGCGCCGTATCGAAGGCAGCCGCTGGGGCTCTAAGAGTCGCCAAGCCCTCTCTTCTACAAAATGAAGTAGCGAAAGTGACAACCTCCCTCGCTGTGAATAGTGAGTACATTTTGTACTGATTTTTTAACATTTTGGATAACTACTCATTACACAAGTGCGACGGCTCTGGCGACACATTCGCCGTCTTTCATTCCGCCCTTTACTCTGACAAGTGTTTTTGGAGTAACTGGACAATTGAAAGTCGTCATTCATTCAAGATCATCAATATATTTGAATTTTATAGAAGCATTATCGAGGTAGAAAAGCATTCATTCATGATTATATAATCAGTGATCGATTGTCGCAGATTCTACTTGCCAACATGGCGGCTTAAAGTCATGTTCGTTCATCTCCGAATTAAATGGTTGGCTCAATATTTAGTACAGTTACATGCGCGAAGCGTTGCTTTACGTTTTTACAAGAGTAAACAAGGAATATTTTGTTACTCGGAGTTTTTTGTCGTACGTTTTTATTTGACGACGTTGCGACTATCGATCGCTCTTCTCCCTACATTTCTGTATCTTGCCATATGAATATTTGGAAAATGTGCTTTGAAATAATGACATAACACAGTTACGCTAAATAAGATTTTAAGGCAGATTATATAGCTATCATTCAGTCATCATATGTATAAAATTTTTTTTGTTATGTAACATGTGCCTTTGGCTCACCAGTCAATCTTTCGAAAGGTTTATGAGTTTTTTTTAAATATTATTTCAAATGCAGGGAGGGATTATGCAGCCAAAGCTGCAGCTGCATCCAAAGCTGGTGCGCAAGGGAAGGTAGTCGCTGTCATCGGTGCTGTTGTTGATGTACAGTTTGAAGATGCCCTTCCACCTATCCTCAATGCCTTGGAGGTACAAAATCGCACACCCAGGCTGGTGCTTGAGGTCGCCCAGCATCTTGGAGAAAACACAGTGCGAACGATTGCCATGGACGGTAATGTACATGTTTCAAATCTTATAAAACATAATATACAAGACTCGTCGATTTGAATTGCACATTTCCAACGCAGAAATTTTAATAATGCTCATTAAAAATCAATTATTTTTATTACATTTTTCTATTATATTAAAATAAATACAGTTGAATAATTATAATACTGTTGTAGTAAAATTGAAAAAATTAAAAAACGACAAATAAATATTAACAGCATAAATGTTTACAAAGCAATTTCTATTGAATCAATATGTAAATTATTTATCATTTTTTAATTATAATCTATAATAATAACATGCCATTTACTTCTACATACTATGCAAAGAATAAGAATAATAAAATACAAGTAAAAGAAAATACAAGATTGTCAGCACAGATGGAAATATGTATTCTTTTGCTCTAGTCAATCTTGTATCTGAAATCTTGCAACTGAACGCTACTCAATCATCGTAATTTAATTAATAAAATTAGAGCCTATTATGAATTTCATATTGCACATTCTCTCTGCGTTGTAAAAACACTACAAATTATTGCTATTGTTATAGGTACGGAAGGTTTGGTACGTGGTCAAAATGTCTTCGACTCCGGATATCCCATTCGTATTCCCGTGGGAGCGGAAACTCTGGGCCGCATTATCAACGTCATTGGTGAGCCCATCGATGAGCGCGGACCCATTCCCACGGACAAGCTGGCCGCTATTCACGCGGATGCTCCCGAATTCGTAGAGATGTCCGTCGAGCAAGAAATCCTGGTCACAGGCATCAAGGTCGTGGACCTGCTGGCTCCCTATGCTAAGGGTGGAAAAATCGGTAAAGAATTCTAATAACACGATTAATTATCGGTCGATTGAGGACTGTTTTGCAGAATAAAACTGAATTTTCTTCACGGAAATTATCGAGGCATTTTATATCGATTGATTGTTCATCAATAACAAAATATTGATATTGTGTTTTAGGTTTGTTCGGCGGTGCTGGAGTCGGCAAGACTGTACTCATTATGGAACTGATCAACAACGTAGCCAAAGCTCATGGTGGTTATTCGGTGTTCGCCGGCGTCGGTGAAAGAACACGCGAAGGCAACGATCTGTACCACGAGATGATTGAATCTGGTGTAATTTCCCTTAAAGACAAAACCTCTAAGGTAGCGCTGGTGTACGGACAGATGAACGAGCCGCCGGGCGCCCGTGCCCGTGTAGCCCTCACTGGACTTACCGTGGCCGAGTATTTCCGTGATCAGGAGGGTCAGGACGTACTGTTGTTCATCGATAACATCTTCAGGTTCACCCAAGCCGGTTCCGAGGTGAATATAATTAACGCGTGTATCAATCAAAGTGTCATACGAAATAAATTTATGTAATTCTAGAAATGTATTCTAAAATATTAATGAAAACACATTTTTTGAATGTATATTTTATATTTTATTAATTTTCTCTCCATAGGTATCCGCCTTGCTGGGTCGTATTCCATCTGCCGTAGGTTACCAACCCACATTGGCAACTGACATGGGTACCATGCAGGAACGTATTACGACAACGAAGAAGGGATCCATTACATCTGTGCAAGCCATTTACGTGCCCGCTGACGACTTGACCGATCCTGCCCCTGCCACCACCTTCGCTCACTTGGACGCCACCACTGTATTATCGCGTGCCATCGCCGAGTTAGGTACGTGTCTTTTAAAAATTTCTACCTATCGCGCCACAATTTCTGCGGCCTCTCTTCGAAAGGAGATTTAATTTTACGATGATATGTAGGTATTTACCCGGCCGTCGACCCTCTCGACTCCACGTCACGTATCATGGACCCCAACATCATAGGCGCTGAACATTACAACATCGCTCGTGGCGTACAGAAAATTCTTCAGGACTACAAATCGCTTCAGGATATCATTGCCATCTTGGGTATGGACGAGTTGTCGGAAGAGGACAAACTGACAGTTGCACGTGCACGCAAAATTCAAAGATTCTTGTCCCAGCCATTCCAGGTGAGAATATGACGCGTCACACATTTATATGCTTCTTTTTTTAGAAATCTACGCATTTTTGTAGAAGATTGGTTTATGTAAACATTTTATTCACGTATATATTGTCTTAGAAGTGAATGTCTCTCATACACAATTGCCTATTTTAGGTTGCCGAGGTATTCACCGGCCACGCCGGCAAATTAGTACCATTGCAGGAAACCATCAAGGGATTCCAAAAGATCTTGGGGGGAGAGTTGGATCATTTACCGGAAGTAGCGTTCTACATGGTTGGCCCGATCGAAGAAGTAGTTACGAAAGCAGAATCGTTGGCCAAACAATAAATTAACTTACATTCATTGTAAAGTGTCATTAAAGATTTATTCGCTCATCATGCGTATGCGAAAGCGATCTTTCGATGAAACTTGCATTCTCCTCTCTCTTCATACAATCTTTATTGCGTTTTAATTTCCCAAATAGAACTTCAATAATGAAATGCTAAAAGCGATTAAAAGATACCTTTTAAGCATCGTCCTTGCAATATGATGATACAATTATATTATTGTAATAAACTATTTTTTAATATTGTCAAGGTTTGCTATGCAAACAGAATTGAAAGGTCGCTTTGCCTTTTCTGTTTCTCTCTTTGGTATAAAAATTTATTAGAAATGGCAGGAAAATCGATGACAAGAGCATCCTAGTTAGGACGCATATCACAACATGTTATACATCTCAACCTCCTTTCTTCATAAACTTAATTGGTAATAGTGTTATTACTAATTAACATATACCATCGAGTTACAGTGTATATGTTAGATATTAATAAAAGTTTTACAAAAACATACACAGTATATATTAAAATCCTTTGTTAGTAATGTAAATATTGAACTTCATATTTGATTCTAATACGTTTTAAATTTAATGATTAAATCGTCGGAAAGAATTTTTCTAAACAAATTTTTAATTAAAATTGTGAACATATAATGAAAAATGTGAACATATAATAGAAAAACATAATGTGATGTTACAACAACAAAAATCACATTCTATGTATGAGCTGATAAGAAAACTCGCCAATACACAAGTTATTTGTCTTCGTCAAAATCGATCATTGGTTCCTGCACTTTATATGCTCTTTTCAATATCTAACAAAAAAAATGTATTAATTATTTATTAGTTTATATTAATTTCTTTAATATGTGTTGAGCAAATTCTCGATTTAACAGATATTTGGCGAAGAAAATATTCTATATACAAATAATATTTGTAAAATAATTTTGATATGAAACCAAAGAATAATATAAAATTTGTCCGAGAAAATTTGGTCATCTTTTAATTCGAGAATTTATTAAAGATTTAACTTACCATCCATTGATCCATATTTAATGAAATGACATTTTGACTACCTGTTTTATTCTTGTTAGATTCCTTATTTTGTGAATTTGCCTGCTTATGACATGGTTCCACGACGAGACTTCCGCGATTATCTGAAATAAATATAACATTAGTGAATTCTAGAAAAAAAAAGACAGGATTTTTTTAAGTAAAAACAAGTACTTTTTTTCAGTTTTACCACTCCATCTTTTACAAGAAATGATATATATAGCAGATTCCTAATAGTTCTGCCGAAATCATCAGGATGCAGAATTAGTTGAAATAAATCAATTGGTTTCCGCGTTTCCTTGTAGTAACACGCGATTAATTTCTTGATTTTTCTCACAGTTCGTTCCACGCTGTCTTCGTCCTTTGTATTCGCCTGCGGTACTAATTTATCAGGTACTTTCATCGCAGCTTGCGATAGTATCCTTTGCTGCGGCTTTTTTCTGACTATCACCTTTTTCTCCAAAGGCTCTAGCGTGCCTGAAATAAAAATTACAATAAATTTTTTAGCGTAATAAGCCACTAATGTAAAATTCTATTTTGATATAACATTTTTGAAAATATTGGCAAGAAAACAATATCCAACAAAATATCAACATTTGTTTCTACATAATATGAATTTTGATTATGAACAAACCTAATAATGTGCTATAATTGGGCATTCTTTTAATCAATTTCGTTACTTGCATTTCTAACACTGACCAATTTGGAGACTGCGAGTTATCTGACGTTTCTTCTAAATGATTTATCTAAACACACAAATATTGCAAGTAATAGAATACATAATTAGGTATAGTTTGATCATTTTGTAAATATAGAATATATTCCAGATAATTATAAATAAATAGTTATGTTCTTTAGTAAATACGTACCAGCTTTTGTGCAAAGTCAATATAGTTATAATCACACATTCTCTTTGTCAGTGTGTTGGTGCAAGTCTTCAGAATTTTAGAAGATAGAGTCATCATTTCTGAATCAATAAGCACTTCCTGCTGATTGTTAACTGAAAGTTTCCAAAATATGTTAAAAAATATATTAAACCTTTCCCTTTGTTTATGTATGTTGTAATATTATTTCAGTCAAGTGTACGATATAAAAAATATAAGATATTTATGGATTTATGTACCTTTTTCTTGTGTACTTGTTTCATTAGTGATATCATCAGCTTTATTTACGACTTCATCAAGCTTATTTATCGTGGAATCATTGATTACTTCTTCTGCAATTTATTTATTTTAATACACATTAAATACCTTAAAAAAAATAGCTAAGCTAAAAAAAAATTAAATTGTTGATACTTTACGTAAACCTATTGTCTGCTGCAAGGCACGTTTCAGGCTATTCTTTCGTTCTCTAGAAGACCGCGTGTTACGTGAAGGAGAAGAATCTGATGAATTTGTATCTTCAGTCATTGTTGTATAAGATTTCTGTACTTCGCAAAGTTATTTAAAGAAAGGATGTAAGCACACTATTCTGTAAGTAAACACGATATAATTTAATTTATAATAATCTATAATGTTTTTATTGATCTTATTATAATTAAATGATCAAAACTAAGCTTTACATCAGTTTTGTCAATATGTATATTTAATATATATTTTTTAAAAATACATACGTAATAAATGTAGATATTTTTTCAATAATTAAGATGGTTGTTGTTGGTGAAAGACAAATTTGAAACAAGAAAAAATGTGTTTCTTGATATCTAAAATTAGTTTTTTGGTTTGTCAGGTATAACACAGCAGGCAAATACTTCTTTCATATATCACTGTTTGGCAATTGAAAAAAACTGAAAACAACTGAAAACGATCAGTGTAGTCCATTGAAATATATACCATACTCAGTGATGCGATCTTTCCCACAGCAGTCCCGGCTCGGCTGTGCTCGGCTGCCTCAACCAACCTTACAGAAGCGCTACGTCAC